CATTAGATGCCTTCAGCTCTAATACTAGGAGCAGGCTTAGGGACTCCAGTAACCGTACTCGTCGAACTCGACAAAGAGGTCGACGTGCAACCTAGCCCATGCATCAGCCCGCTGAGTTTCTCGCCGGATCTTCTCAGCGGGTCGCGATTCCGATCCGGTAGTAGATTCATTCGCGAAGCAATTGCTCTTGAATTGTAAGGTCTCCTTCGGAGGCGCTCGGGCAGCTGTTAGCAAATCCCACCCCTCCTGGCTGAACCTTTGCTCGCCCACCTGTCCTGGTGAAACTGGAAAGGCCTTCGGGCCACCAGTGATCTCTCAACCATAAAAAAAAAAGTAGGTGCTAACGATGGGATAGTGTTTTGTGTTAAACTTTTGCGTTTAGCTACATTTGACGATTTTACTGCGATTTCTAGTTTTGACAAGCGAAGACCGGGTGACTGAATCGTCGAGTCTATGTTCTTGCATGTAGGTGCACTCGCGAAGCAGCTGTTTTCCAGCTGTTAAGAATTGTTTATGGGGCGTTCGGGCAGTTGTTGGCTAGTTGTTGGCATGGCTAGTTATATATGTTGACTTCCTAAATTGACAAGAAGTTTATGATCATTAAATAAATGATTGTTTTCCGTACGTACCTATTTATTATTTTTAAATAAAAAGATCCTATTAAATTTGGCTAGACAGTGGTAGGAATGCGGACAATGGAGGTGAGCATAAAGTCTGTCTATTTTCTCACTTTCATTCTTCCTAAATTGTATCTTTTATCTCTAGCCGTAATGAATCTGTCGCGAGTTAAAATTTACTCTCAACGCGCCTAAAGAAGTTTCACTGCAATAACATAATTTAATTACTCTTAAATCTTTTCAAAGTAAAAGGTTGTGTAATCAAACTCTTAGCCAATTAAAATAAAATATATTTAGTTATTTCATTCTTAAACGTTGTTGTTAAGTAAAGTTATGAATACAAAATAAAAAGGAGCAATACAACGCAAATTTCATTAATTTTATTAAACTTAGATTTTTACGCTTTGAGATTGTCTTCTAAAAATGAAAATACCTGTTCGTCGGAAAGTTTTTGACAACCCTACGTATCGACGTCAGCTTTTTTATCTCTTTATCTCGTCTAAATTAAAATTTTAAACCGGTAGATATTTGTTTGCATTTTTTCTTAATCAAGGTTGAGTTTACCTTACCGGTTTCTAGAGACTGAAGGGACTTGTGAGCTTCTGTCCACTTAATAAAAATATTGCATTCATGACGGATTATACTATTTTTTCCATATTGTTAAATACACGATTACTGGGCTACTTAGGGCAGTATATAATATTTAATGTTTATATTTAATAAACTTTGTTTAATCAAGCCTTTCTTGAGATCTAAAGCGATAAAATCGTTTGATGTGGGTAATATGTGATAGGTATGTAATCTTGTTTATTTATGTCTCTGAGAGATATAACGATCAGATGAGTTAGTCAAATTCGCATTCAATTTATATATAGTAACGCGTTTTGATTAAGGATGGTCAAGATTCTAAGAAAGAGCATTTGATGTTTGTTATCTCATTCCTGTTGAGAGGGTTCTTAGCTTAACTTTCTAACCTTCCTAACTTCCTTCTAACCTTCTAATCCAACCATCATTTAACACATTTTACAGGTGAAACATCGCAAAAACTTTATATATAGAAGTAAGTATAATAATACAATAGTATAAAAATCACACGTTAGTAACCTTAGTAGTATAAAACATCGCGTTTTTAATTCCAGTAGGTAGGTATATTTTTAACATAGCTCCTCCTCCTTGTGTCGGTTTCCTCATTACTGAGGGTCGTGGTCATGGCCTTGAAACAGTTTAAATGTTTCTCTGTCCATAACATAGCTCAGATACCGCAATAACAAATTAAAACACAAAATAAATATTTCAATTGTAGTTTGTGTTTTATTGATAGAATGCATGGAATACGTCACCGTGCTCTATTAAGTATGGCAATATTATTAAAATGTATTGTTTAAAAGTTAAGTGAATTTGAAAGAAAACGAATATTTTTGAATCTTGAATTTGAATAATTTTCTGTAAATAGTTGCCATGGTTATGTCTCTCAAATATTAAGTGTATTATCTATGGTCATGTCAAAAGAATCATTAGTGACGTCCGATTAGTCACGTAGCTTACAAAAATTAGGCATAGACTAGACGCATTACAAATATCGCGATCCACATTCGGTGTCAGGATTCTTTGATCTCGCCAAGTCTAACAGATTTTTGGTAATGTCAAAACGAACAAGCGTATACGAATAACAACAAATCGACAAAAAATCTAAAAAAATAATACGTTCATGCACAAACACATAGCAGCTCTATTGTTAGGTATACATATTTAGATTGCTGGTTCGCAAAGTATGAAGTTCTAATATTTTAGAATAACTTATCAATTAAAATCTATAGCTTACCATTCGTGGTTAGTTTAAGGTTAGCATTAATTTCGACTTTGGGAATAATTTCGGGAATTTGTTTATCGGGGTTTTGTCGAGTATTTATTTGTTTAGAGAAATGGACTGTATTTTATTTTAGGTCGTTGGCTAGCTTCCATTAAACTTGATTCAGAAAGAAAGCCTTTTATTTCTCTTCGTACACAATGCTAAGTACCACCAGATAATTTTGTACAACTAGGTACAACGACTAGTGTTGCCACATGGTAATGTGTTGCCACATTAGAAACATTTATAATAAAATGTTAAGTTTATGATTGCCCTAAGAAGTTTTCATTCATCGTGTAGTCTTAGCCTTACTAGCAACGAAAACCTTTTCATTGAAAGACAAACGCGTGATGACTTCGTGATAATTTAGATACCGTGAATGACGAATACAGCCGCGTTACATCACAGCTGTTCACGATGACTTCAAATAATATTTATTACGATAAGAAGCGTAGTAGGTAGATACGGTTCCAATAGTACGCAACGTATCGATAGATAACGCGCGCGCGATTTGTCTAAAATATGAATGACTCAGTACTAAATGAATTTAATTCATCATTGTTTTCTGGTAGATTTAATCAATGAATATAATGTGTTTAAAAAAAAAAAGAAGCTATATGTAGCAATACAATATATTTAGGAATGAAGTCGTCGTGGCCTAAAAGATAAGACGTCCGGTACATTCGTGTTAAAGCGATGCACCGGTGTTCGAATCCCGCAGGCGGGTACCAATTTTTCTGATGAAATACGTACTCAACAAATATACACGATTGACTTCCACGGTGAAGGAATAACATCGTGTAATAAAAGTGAAACCCGCAAAATTATAATTTGCGTAATTACTGGTGGTAGGACCTGTTGTGAGTCCGCGCAGGTAGGAACCACCACCTATTTCTGCCGTGAACCAGTAATGCGTTTCGGTTTGAAGGGTGAGGCAGCCGTTGTAACTATACTGAGACCTCACAACTTATATCTCAAGGTGGGTGGCGCATTTACGTTGTAGATGTCTATGGGCTCCAGTAACCACTTAACACCAGGTGGGCTTTGAGCTCGTCCACCCATCTCAGCAATAAAAAAAACCTATTCTTTGTTTTACCTAAACACAAGCCCTAGATACAGTCAGTCTATTTTAGTGTAATTGAAGTCAATTCTAACAGCTCGCTTGCAGTGTCTAGAATCACTTAAGAACATCAATTTGTAAGGTACAATGTACAATACCTATAAACTGCTGTTGAAGGTCGCTAATAACATTTATTATACAGGTTTTCCAACAATATTTTTAACATTGAGATTCATACTCGCTATCTAGATAACTACATATTTGAATTCAGTCGAATAGTTTTATTTAACTGTCGGTACTCAACTTCGTTTTCTTATAATAATATTAGAAAGAGTACGCACCGTAAGAACTAGAATTTGTATATTTATGAGTGTTGTACTACTTAATAACAAGATTCACACACACTCACACATCTGTTTTGAAAAATATCGGTCTAGAAACAGTCAACCATTTTAAAAAAACATTTTGATGATAACTCTAACGCGCATCAGGTTGCTAAACGAAAAAAATTGACTGATATATAGAGTAGAAAATGGTACAAAACTGTTTTGTTTTAGCTTATTTATGCATCACAACACAATAATTTGTACAGATAGGAAAAAAAAACCAAGGTCGTATTTAACTTAGCTCATTGGCTAGCTAGCTTTGGTTTGAGAAACTCACCAGTCTGTTGTTAGTTTTTTTTAAACAAAGTTTTTTAGTGTCATAGACGCACAGCTTAGTTCACGACCAGAATTCTTCTGAGCACTCCCTGATAAATAGATAGACCATTGTCTGATAGACCATTGTCTCCATAAGCTTACTAGTTCCAAGCTATCAGTGAGGTATTGTTACAGCCAAAAGCGACACTGAATCGTCTGCCTTATAAGACATTACAAAATATACATAATTCAAAGAATTAATTAGGTTTTTTTTGCGTAGACAGGTGATTCGTCTTACGACCCATCTGGTGTTGAGTGGTTACTTGAGTGGTTACTTGTCCACCTTGAAACTGGATGTCAATATCTCAATTGTATAGTATAATAATTACAACAAATAATGATTTTGCGGGTTTGATTGTTATTACACGATGTTAATCCTTCATCGTGAAAGTCATTCAAGAGCATGAGTCAAGTACGTGTTTGATTAGAATAATTGGTAGGTACCTGTCTGGTGAATATAGACACCGGCACTATTGCATAGATAGAACAGACGACGATAACGTTTTAATTTTCAAGGTCACCTTACTCGTTTATTATTCCGTAATGCTTTTAATTTTATATCGTTTTAATAAATTAGCGACTATCTCCAAATTGTAATCACGTTGCGATGTGTCTACCAGATCAGCGACGGTATGGCAATTAGATTTTCATTTCGGGGTCAATGATATTACGGTGCGGGCAATACGGAAAATACAACGAATAAGTACATTCTTTCTGTAACAAATCTTATTTTGGGTCTTCTTGTTCAAAATTACTTAATTACAAATTTGCAGAAAATGTCTAGAAGAAGAATTATTGCAAGTGGAGTAGCTGGTGTTGCGGGTGCAGCCTTAGCCGTGTGGGCCTTCTCCGCCGATGACTCTCCGGTTGTGAGTACAAAACACTAATTAGAGATTTTTTGTAATGTGTTAAGCATAGTAATTTGATTTTTTTATTAACAGCGCCATTTATTTGCCAATAGACACACTGAAAAGTGTAAATAATACTTGTTACATTTATATTCGATAAAATTACTCTCTTCCCACTGCTATTGCGAGACATAACCAGATACACTCCGCAGAACTTAGCCAGGAGATAGTCAACAATCGTTAAGCCCTTTGAGGGCTGCTACGTAAAGACAGCCCACTGTAATTATTAGTAACACTTTAAAGTATTTTTTTTAAGTTTTTATTAAAAACATAAATTCGATATATAAAACGTCACTGTCTATCTTTAGCCAAGCTTTAAGACTTTGCATAATCATCAACCTCAACAAAACATCTCTTTCTTCGATGAATAATTTTAAATACGAAGACGTCACCGCGTCGTTGCCTGAACACTGAATTTTACGTTTCACAATTAATACGGTAATTATTGTTATTTCACCAAATCTATTAGTCAATTGAATCGACCCATAGTTACTGCATGCAGAATGTCGTGTCAGAATGCAGTATGTCAGAATGCTAACAGAAAATATAGATGCGCTCTATTTAAAAACATCCGATAGTAAATAATATTCGTGCAAACCAATCTCGAGTATTGCAGACAACATCTTATTAGGTGAGAATGAAGACTCCGAAGATGAGAATTACATGCTCAATCCATATCTTAGTATACTAAGCAAGAAATTGTGCTATACAATCGATGCTGCAAGAAGAGATTCCGACGATCACCGGAAACTAAACTTAATTGTTCACATTTTATGATCCAAAATTGGTATCTCTATCGACCGGCTTTTGTTTCTATCTAGATTCGAGCGTAAGTTGTTGGGTGCCAAGTGGCTTTAGTTGTTTACCCCAAAATTACGTACCTTTACTTACTCTGAAGATACGCCGCTAGTCATGCTTACTGCGCCCAGTGGAAACCCGGAGACTTCCATGCTTCCAGCCCTCAAGACTTCAAGCTAGGAAAAAAGTCATAATTCGAACTTACATCAATTATGGCCAACACGAACAAACAAACTTCCTTTATAATTCAAACTATTTATATATATATGGTTTATTTTGGCGGTTTTTATTTTTATTCATTATTTTCAACGTTTAACGCGACGAGTACTTTACGACTTTCATGGTCACCGACGACCGTGAACTGTAAATAATATTTTATTTTGTCTACTTCACGCTAAAACCAAGGGAAATACTAATTTATTTTTCTCGATCTTTTGCATAGAACTGGTACTCAGCAGCAACGGTGTCAGCAAAGACTGTACGCAAGAAGCGTCCTCTGCCAACCAGAACAGAACAAGTGGCCAATCTCCAAGCTGGGCACACGTACGATTTGCTCATCATTGGAGGCGGCGCCACGGGAGTTGGGTGTGCACTCGATGCAACAACTAGAGGTATTGACCTAAATGTACTTACTCGTACCATATGCTCTCAGTGTGCTTAGTGCGAGTTTTTTAACGTTCTCGATAGCGTAAAAGTTAACGAAATTTTGTATGCAGTTGGAACAGCGCCCCTAGCGGCAAACGTAGGCAAATGATCCCATTCCATACAACTTTTACGCTATCGATAACGTTAATAAACTCGCACTAAGCCCGCAGATCAAAGGCCAACGTTTCTCCCCAAACGAAAAATAAATAAATCATACAATTTTAATGTTTTAATAACTGTTTACGATAAGCGAATCAAATAGTTTCTCACCTGGTATTCTATCCATTTATTAGTTTCATTCTTCATCCATGAACACGAACTTTGTAGATCATTTATTTATTTATTTTGCCTACCTATGTACCCTCGAGGGGCTATTCTGGTTTCTGCCAGATGTGTAGGCGAGCTCACGGGGCTCGAACTGAAAGACTGCTAACATCTGTCCTAGCAAGAGCTGAATCTACCACCGGATCGAAATTTGGACCCACTGAGAAAATCCGACAAGAAACTAAGAGGGTTTTGTATAGGGGTTATCTCTACATACTTATCGATCACAATGTGGCAACTGATTGACTCAAGAAATTTCATTTTAGGTCTCCGAACAGCCCTAGTAGAAGCAGACGATTTTGCAAGCGGTACATCCAGTAGAAGTACGAAGCTCATCCATGGTGGAGTCAGGTACCTGCAAAAGGCCATCATGCAGCTCGACTATGACCAGTACAAGATGGTTAAAGAGGCTCTGCACGAGCGCGCTAATATGCTGGAAGTCGCACCACACTTGACTAGGCCCCTGCCTATTCTTCTACCAGTATACAAGTAAGTTTTATTTTATATTTTATTAAGGACCAATTTCCTGAACTCGCAGTACTCAACCTACTTGCTAAATTATAATAATGTCACAAGTAGATGCTACGAAAACATTATGAACTGTATTGGATTTGAAATTAAGTTTGTTATGCCCCAAGGATGTGTGCAATGAATTCAACTCTTTCAACTCGGGGCTCAAACCGGAGGGTTGCTAACATTGCTAACACTGGCCCCAGCAAGGGCAGTGCTTCGCAAAATCTACCACCGGATCGGAAACGCGACCCACTGAAAAATCCGGCGAGAAACTCAGTGGTCTGTGTCTATGGGTTAATTCGCTCGTCGAGCCATTCGTCGCAAACGAAGGGTTCGACGAGGACGGTTACCGGTGCTTGTGGTACCTAAAGCACCCATTCCCTGTATACATCTTACGTAGTTTTTTTTTTTAACTAGTTCAATTTACTGGTGGTAGGGCCTTTTGTAAGTCCGCGCGGGTGGGTACCACCACCCCGCCTATTTCTGCCGCGAAGCTTACTGGTGGTAGGACCTCTTGAGTCCGCGCGGGTAGGTACCACCACCCCGCTTATTTCAGCCGTGAAGCAGTAATGCGTTTCGGCTTGAAGGGTGGGGCAGCCGTTGTAACTATACTTCAGACCTTAGAACTTATATCTCAAGGTGGGTGGTGCATTTACGTCGTAGACGTCTATGGGTTCCAGTAACCACTTAACACCATGTGGGCTGTGAGCTCGTCCACCCATCTAAGCTATAAAAAAAAATACGAAGTCGTTTTTACGTTTCAGATGGTGGCAAGTACCGTATTATTGGTTCGGTATTAAAATGTACGATTTCGTTGCCGGCGACAGAAACGTTAAGAATTCTTATTATTTATCGAAGAAGAATACTCTTGAGTTGTTTCCAATGTTGAAATCGGATAATCTATGCGGAGGAATTGTCTATTATGATGGTAAGAATTAATATAATAAATAAGTTAAAAAGGCTTTCATATTCAACCGCCCCAAGCTAGGTGTTCCTCTAATGAAGGAAACAGACGAACGAAACAAGACAAGTGTTCCCAGACCTCAAATGAGAAGTATCTCTAGAAATACACTATGATTGGGAACAGCACCTGCACTTCGTACAATAAGCAGGGTCATTGACTCCTACACCAACGAGTCGATCAGAAATGTAAATTTATTCCAATCCGTTGATTCTCTTGGGTTCCAAATCTTTGATCCAATTGCTCATTAATGAAAGTCAAAATACGTGAACGAATTTGCGTTACCTGATCTTTGACCAATATGCGAAGGTTTGCCAAACAAATAATTTGCGGAGATAACTTTAAAATCATAGGCCATCATGTACGTCCCTTCTTACATTTAGTAATTGCGATTTTAAATTATTTTCTTTCTAAAACTTAGCAACATTAAGTTTGTTCAGCGAAAATAAGACTTGTTGTAAAACTCTTTCAGGACAACAAGACGACGCTCGAATGAACTTAGCGATTGCACTGACGGCCGCCCGTCACGGCGCCACCATTGCTAACCACGTCAGCGTCACCAAACTATACAAGGTAGCCGGGAAACTGAGCGGAGCTAGACTGAAGGTTCGTTTATTTGCCTTTGTACGCAGACGAGCATATGGTCCATGTTTGGCGAGTGGTTACTCTCACTCATGGATGTTAGGGACTTTTTGGCGGGAACGCGAGCAGTGAAGTTGTGTGATTTGTTTTATTTTGTCTATTTAGTGTTCCTTGAGGTTTAAATTTGTAGTAACGGTGGTTTATTAATAATTGTTTAATATCTGTGAAAGTGCACAAACAAATGTGGGAAAATGAAACAGAGCCGCAGGACGTATCTTCTCGGGATCCTCCAAAAAGTTCGCTAAAAAAAATCGCAGTAAATGACCACCATTTTACTGAAATAATATTTCATGACATATCATCTCATCTCATTTCATTTAATTTCATCCCAGTTGATTAATGTCCCAAATTAATCATCTTCATTTCATTTCATTTAACTCCATATTATCATTTTTCATAAAAATATGAATCTAGATTAAAATAAGACATGACTTAAAGGTCATAATAACCTGGTCTTAAATCCCTTTAAAAAAAATCATGGAATTTAGCGATCCCTACAACTTACTGCTGAGTACTCGCCGCAAGCCTCATTTGAATAAGGGTGTGTTAAGCGCTCAGAAAAGTGCGTAGAGTTCATTTCAAAGGGATGGTGTGTGTAAAAAAAAATTTCTTGATTTTTAAAATTTTTTTTTAGCCTTTGTAGGCAGACGAGCATAAGGCCCATCTGATGGTGAGTGGTTACTGTCGTCCATGGACTTCAGCAATGCTAGGGGCAGAGCCAGGCCGCTGCCTACCCTGGAGTGATTCAATGTTTCTAGGTACATATAAACGAACTCTGCTCAGATTTGCAATGCAATCCTAAAAAATGATTTTAATCTGAAGAATAAGCCGCTTTACAATACTAGGTATGTTTACCTCATATCTCCAGGTAGGAGGCTGCATTCACTTCGTGTCCATGAAATTCAATAACGGCATACTACTTATAGCTAACCGTGTAGCTGTTTCATCACAAAAATTCTGGGGAGTACCCACAAAATTTTCTTTTTTATTGGACATGCTTACAAATTCTTTAAGGAAGATGTGGAAAGTATGTAGGTATCACTCATATGACGGCCTCAGAAAACATTGGTCGTTTGAAGTATTCGTCATCCGAACTAAGATGTTTATAAGCTTCTGTCTCTGATGGTAATCATCATCGTGGGGATGGGACCAACGTCTAAAGATTGGAGTAGGTTAGGTACATATATGACATATAAGATCCTCAAATATCGTAATGTCGTAATTATCTGTGGAGTCATCGTAGTCATTGAGATAAGATATGAGTCGTATGTTCATCTTCCCGTATCGACAAACAATATTTTCAGGACGAGTTATCCGGCAAGGAATGGGACGTGCAAGCAAAGTGCATTATCAACGCAACCGGCCCATTCACGGACAGCATCAGGAAAATGGACGATCCCAAAATCAAAGATATCTGCTGTCCATCTTCAGGAGTACATATTGTGTTACCCGGATATTACAGGTAAAAACGAATCCAGCCTCGGTCACAGCAAATTTACTCAAAGCATTGGAAGCATCGTTTGAACTCGCATGGTTACGGTGGCTGCTGCGAAACAGTCGTGCATTTTATTGAACGCAATCGTTGAACAAAGTACAGACTTTGACCTCATATCGAGAAGTAAGTGGCAGCTTGTCTGTTAGATGTTCTACAGATATAGAGCTAAAAGCAAGATATCAAATTGCCTATATCATTGAAACTGATTTTGGTAAGGCAGTTTCAATAGCGCTGTCATATGTGTAATATGTGAACGAGGATCGAAAAGATTCTTGAGGTTTTTTTATTTATTGCTTAGGTGTGCGGACGAGCTCACAGCCCACCTTGTGTTACGTGGTTACTGGAGCCAATATACATCTACAACGTAAATGCGCCACCCACCCTGAGATATAAGTTCTAAGGTCTCAGTATAGTAACAACGGCTGCCCCACCCTTCAAACCGAAACACATCACTAGTTCATGGCAGAAATAGGCGGGGTGGTGGTACCTACCCGTGCGGACTCACAAGGCACTAGTACAGCTGATGTTTATAAGCCGCGGTGACTATTCAGGCAGGCCATACTTTCACATATATCCGAAGGAAAATAACATATACTCTAAATAAAATTCTCCAGCCCTGAACACATGGGCCTGCTAGACCCGGCAACATCCGACGGCCGCGTCATCTTCTTCTTGCCGTGGCTGAAGGGTACCATCGCCGGAACAACGGACCTGCCCTGCCAAGTCACCCACAACCCTAAGCCCACTGAAGACGAAATCATGTTCATCCTTAGCGAAGTCAAGAACTATTTGAATCCGGACGTTGAAGGTGAATAATTTATTGTTTTTATTTTAGGGTAGTTTGAAATTTTTCTTTCGGTTTGCCACAGACCCAGTTAGTATTTTAGTTAGAATTTCTCAATATACAACAGTATTAATTAGGTTGAGATTTCTACAGGACGCGTAAGGGGTTTGTTTTTGTTCCATAGTATTTTATTTCCGTAACTCGCTATAACATTGACATTGACATTTCTTTTCGCGGAAACGTCATGTCTTATCTCTAAAATAAATTCATTCGTTTTATGTAGGTTTCATACTTCAGTGGTTTTATGTCGTTTTGTTTAGCAGATTTATTGAAATACTTATTCGTCAGTACAACCATAGAGTCGGTAACCTCTTCTAAGACTCGATGTTTTTTTTTTCTTTTTTTGTTGCTTTCATTTAGTATAACTTATTGATCTGGTTAAGAAAGCGCTTGCTGGTAGTCTATACCATGTGGTTCATGCCGCCAATGACATGAAGGAAGGAGGAAAATCACGTGCGGTCGCGATCCTCAGCACGAGGGAACGATAAAGAAGAGATAATTTATACTTGGATTAAATGTTTAGTATTAACAAAGTCGTTTATGACTCTATACTGAAGTTTCATGGTCACAGTCCGGCGCGGTGATGTATTGTCCGCGTGGTCTGGGATCCGGCCGCTGGTGTCGGACCCGAACAAGCCGGACACGCAGTCCCTGGCGCGGAACCACATCGTGCACGTGTCGCCGTCCGGCCTCGTCACCATCGCGGGCGGCAAGTGGACCACGTACCGGTCCATGGCCGCCGAGACCATAGATGCCGCTGTGGAAAGTACGTATTAAGGACTGATTCACACAGAAACAGTTGTATATTTACAATTTTCTATTTATATATTTATGTTTTTCAAAGGTATTTTGAGTATGTTTTGTATATGATAGGTGGACGAGCTCACAGCCCATCCGGTGTTGAGTGGTTACTGGAGCCCATAGACATCTAAAACGTAAATGCGCCATCCACCTTGAGATATAAGTTCTAGGGTCTCAGTATAGTTACAACGACTGCCCCACACTTCAAACCGAAACGCATTACTGCTTCACGGCAGAAATAGGCAGGGTGGTGGTACCTAGCCGTGCGGACCCACAAGAGGTCCTACCACCAGTAATTACGCAAATTCTAATTTTGCGGGTTTGATTTTTATTACACGATGTTATTCCTTCACCGTGGAAGACAATCGTGAACATTTTTTAAGTACGTAAATTGCTTATTGCTTGAGTTTCGTCACTTGATATGCGGACAGTGGCAATAAAAAAGTCATGTCACATATGATCAATACCATTAGGTTTTTTATATCTCTGAATGTTAAAACGCATCTGTTTCAAAATCTGCTCCACTGATTTTAGGTGCAAATCTCAAACCAATCTTCAGGGACAGCCAGACTGATGGATTCTTAATAGAGGGAGCCCACGGATGGACTCCTACTATGTACATCAGATTGGTGCAAGATTTCGGATTGGAGATGGAAGTAAGTTAGCAAAATGGATTCCTTTCATTTATGAATTCACATTTTCTTCAATATTCTAGAAATTATTTACAGACAATTTTAAATATTAATAAAATGCTAAAATTTTGTACAGGTTTTGGGCATTTTGTACAGGTCAATAGTATTTCTGTTGTGTGAAGCAAAATTAGATCAAACCAGCACATAAGTTTTGATTATTATTCTTAATAACCATTTAACACCAGCTCGATTGAAAATCTTGCCGTCATCATCACACGTGTATACGGCACCAATCAAAAGGCCGTAAAATTTCTAGTGAATTCCGCTTGTCGAATACATTAAAAATACTTATACAAATACCCTCATTTTTATTGTATTCATTTTACCGTCCGTGGCAATGAAAACCCTAAAGTATTAAATACTTTGGAACTGGTGAAATAATGAAAAAGGCCTCGAACGAACGAAACCATAACGATCGTTTAAGTTGAGAATCGATTTTAATGGAAAATATTTACTATTCAAAGTCGAAACAAAACTGTAACAATCGTTTAAGTTGAGAATCGATTTTAATGGAAAATATTTACTATTAAAGTTCGAAACGATACGGTATTCATAGTTTAAGTTGAGAAACGATTTTAATGGAAAATATTTAGTATTCAAGGTCGAAACGAAACTGTAAGAATCGTTTAAGTTGAGAATCGATTTTAATGGAAAATATTTACTATTAAAGTTCGAAACGATACGGTATTCATAGTTTAAGTTGAGAAACGATTTTAATGGAAAATATTTAGTATTCAAGGTCGAAACGAAACTGTAAGAATCGTTTAAGTTGAGAATCGATTTTAATGGAAAATATTTACTATTAAAGTTCGAAACGATACGGTATTCATAGTTTAAGTTGAGAAACGATTTTAATGGAAAATATTTAGTATTCAAGGTCGAAACGAAACTGTAAGAATCGTTTAAGTTGAGAATCGATTTTAATGGAAAATATTTACTATTCAAGGTCGCCCAACATTTGTCGAAGTCGTATGGGGACAGAGCGTTTGCTGTTGCCAAGATGGCGACCATGACCGGGAAGAGATGGCCAATCATCGGAAAGAAAATACATCCTGAGTTCCCGTATATAGACGCTGAGATTCGGTGAGCGACAATGGTGCTGTGATATTATATAGTTGTAAATTAGGAACCCTTGTGTGTCCGCGCGGGTAGATACCACCGCTCTGCCTATTTCTGCTGTGAAGCAGTATTGCGTTTCGGTTTGAAGGATGGGGCAGCCGTTGTAACTATACTGAGATCTTAGAACTTATAAATCAAGATGGGTGGCGCATTTACGTTGTAGATGTCTATGAGCTCCAGTAACCACTTAACACCAGGTGGGCCGTGAGCTCGCCCACCCATTTAAATATAAAAAAAAAAAAAAATATCACTACAAATTTATCGGTTTCTCACAAAGATTTTTAATTTTAATCATATAATAAAATATTTAATAATAAAAATATTTTCCTCAGGTACGGAGTCCGTGAATATGCCTGCACAGCTATAGATATGATAGCTAGACGACTTCGTCTCGCCTTCCTCAACGTTCAAGCGGCCGCCGAAGCACTGCCCGTTGTCGTTGACATCATGGCCGAGGAACTCAACTGGAACGAGGCTGAAAAGAAGGTAAATAATCACGAAAGAATACCACTTAAAATCATCATCATCGTCGTCATCATGAAGAACTAAATCTGGCCACTTATATAGAAATGTTACAATTTAATAGTATTTTAATTCTGTTGCAAATCAGAGAAAAAGATTGACTCGGCCTAACTATGGGAAGGTTGTTCAGAAAATTTTCTAAATGAGATTCAAAAGAATAATAATGATACGTTGAAACTATGAATAAATTTATATAAAATAAAGATGACATACGAATCTATACTAATATATAAATCTACAGTAGTTTTACGGATGTTCCGTTATAACTACTGAACCATGCATCCGATTGACTTGAAACTTGGTATCCACATAGAAAATACATGGATAGGCTAATATTTATATGAGTGTTGGACTCCCTATTATTAATGACAATAAATAATAATTTTATTTTTAAATACACAGCGGAGCGGGCGATTACGGCTACTAAATTTATAAAATCATTTAGTTTAAATTATGTTCGCACTAAATTTACAGCGTCAAATTAAAATGGCAAACGAATTCCTTGCAAACGAAATGGGCCAGATGGTGAACCGAGCTAGTCGCGACAAGATCCCCATCAACCTGAGCAAGGAGGAGATACAGACGTACATCAAACGCTTCCAGATCATAGACAAGGATCGGAAGGGATTCGTGTCTATTAACGACATTCGGAGGAGTCTTAAGGTAAAAAGTTTCGTTATTTTATCGTGAAGTAAGCAATAAAAAGTTCTCAATTCACTACCGGAACTTGCAGGGATTGTAATATTTTACACTGGTATTGCGCCACACGTATTGGTATCCTACCTATTACTGCCACGAGGCAGTCGTTCGTTCTGATTTAGGTGATACAATTTATATTGAATTAAAAATGTTCATGTATGTACTTATAATATACGCGGACCAATATATCTGGATTAAACAAAGGCTCACTGAACATCCGTGCGTTCCTAGGATTCTAGGACATAACGCAAATGAGTACTGCAGTCAATAGTAATACCGCCCCGTTACAGGCAAGTAGTTCAAGCCAGTCAAATTTACCCGCCAGTGCTACAGCATTGTTGCAAGTGATGTACAACCAGTAGCGAAGAAATTCAGGACTCAAAACAGACCGTTTCCGAAGTCGAAATGCAAATATTCACATAATAAACTATGTATAAACTGGTCGTATAAGTTTATATTTCGTAAAATCATAATTTAACAAAAAGAGCGGTTAGCCGGGTTCCCACAAGGTCATTGACTCCACGTATCAGCTGTTTAGCAAAAACATTTGCAAATATAATATAAATTTTCGAATACTCTCTTCAATGATATCGCGTGATTGAGAATCACGAACAATACTGACTATCTTGGTTTTCAAATTACATCTCGATTCCGCTCTGCGTATTACAAAATTTTAAGTTAAACCAGAGCCTATTTCAGTGGTAATACATCTTACAAAATGACAATTTTCTTCAAAGGATCAAGCGTCTTATTATTATTGTATTTCTAAACCGCTTCCACGGCTTGCTACATTTTAGAGTATGGGAGTGAAACCCAGCGACGCTGAAATAAGTGCGATTTTATCGGAAATAGACGTGACATACCACGGACAAATGGAAATACAGGATTACCTTCAGGTAGCGCTAGCTTGGTCGTAAAATAGGCTCTATGTTTTATGTGGGAAAAGGGCTAACGTGTGACCAGTTTCATCATGACATACCTACGTGTATTGTTAATTACATTTGGTTGTTGGGAAGATTTGCTATTGTCAATCAAATGTAATTACTCGTAAATCAAGAAATACAAGTTTGTATGGAATAATTTGAGATGCGACTTTTTTTATTTGCCAATAAATCCTAGCTTGGCCTAATGGAAACTTTTAGCCCCCTATCACGCTAGCAGAAACCTGCAAGTCTGGAATCGGCCAGGTATCACAGCTGTGCCAAATTATTGGTAAACTAATACAATTTACTGGTGGTAGGACCTCTTGTGAGTCCGCACGGGTAGGTACCACCACCCCGCCTATTTCTGTCGTGAAACAGTACCTAATGCGTTTCGGTTTGAAGGGTGAGGCAGCCACGCATTTACGTTGTAGATGTTTATGGGCTCCAGTAACCACTTAAAACCAAATGGGCTGTGAGCTCGTCCAGCCAACTAAGCAATGAAAAAATATCAGAAAATTTTAATAGCAGAGCTGTTTCAATCAGGCAATAATTATCGCGAACCACAATAAAGAAAGGTTTCTCTCTCAAATTGTTCCATAAAACTTTTACGATGTGGCGTCCGATGCTGAATGTGCTGTTCCCACAGAACTACGGCGAGGAAGTGACCGGCGAGCAACTCCACGAGATCCTACGCGAGATCGACACAAACATGAACGGTCAAGTTGAACTCGACGAGTATCTACAGGTCTATGGCGCTTCCACAGATTCACAATACCGAATCAACCCTGTCAGATTAACTGCCTTTATATTACAGGCATTACGCGTTGACTTATATCGTCTTCTCGCATTAAAACTGTATAATCTAAAAACTTACTAATTTTACATGAGAGTGTTTTAAAGGTTTAAACATGTGATATTTTTAATATTAATCATCTTTGCAATATTTATTTTTTATTTTTTATTCGTTACATTATCTGTCTTTTATAGTAAGATAAAATTATGTATTAATTTTGTTATTAGTCAAAACATAGGTAAACTATAAAAAAAAATTCAACTTAACTACGCTCTTTTGACATGTATTTATGAGAAAAATACTGATGATACCAAATGATTCCGCATATTAACTCAATTTCGAATATTTTTGGAAATTGTACACTTTTAATGCGAAAAGACGATATTATGTCGGCGAGTTTGCACGTTTTTACAGCTTTTTTTGGGGATTAAATTGTATAATCATAGTTCAGCGTACTCAATGTTTCGGTTCATTGCTCAACTGTTATGAATATTTCTAAATTGCATATTTCAGGGTTTCGCACGGGTTTAACGGAACACTTCTGTCTTGCTATATCTGTCATTTTAATTGGAGACTGTAGAATGTATCATACTTTAAAATAGTCAATAACACTTGTTGATAATTATTCTCAAATTTCCTAATAGTTTGCTTCGGTTTTTAATGTGTACAGAACTCCAAGTGTACGGTGTAGTTTGAAGTTAATAAACATTCATTTAATTTATTTATTTAGTTAGAAGTAACTATCTGTTTATGTACTGAAACATAATATGTGCTTGTGTGTGTGTGTGCGTGAAGTTTATGTGTTTTGTGTTGTTCGTGGCACAAGTCTTTCTCGAATGACAATTTCACAAAATTGTACTTAGAGGTTTGTTCCCTGTCAGAGGCAGGGAACCATTACGACTCCTTCTACTTTGGACAATGCATCGAAGAAAGGAGAGAGGGAGAGAGAGAGAGCTAAAATTTTTGATTTGCGATATTGCGACACCGAATAATAATTCAGATATTCGCTTCAGATACGCAAAACGAACATACGGCCCATCTGATGATGAGTGATTACCATCAGCTTATGGACGTCAGTAATTTCAGGGGAAGAGACAATCCGCTGCCTAGTCAAGGTAGGCAGGTAGGTACTTTCGTTTCGATCTATTTACAAATGTTTATTCTACTCTATTACTCATAGATGATGTCGGCCATTAAATCTGGTCACGTGGCGTACTCGCGTTTCGCTCGAATGGCCGAGATGGAGGAGGAGCATCATGAAAGGGAAACCCTCAAAAAGAAGATCACCGTAGAGAGGAGCGGCGGTGGACTGTAAATGAATCTTTAGCGCACTTAGGTACGTTTTAGTTTCGGTCAACAAGTTTGTTGCTGTATGTGGGTGAATAAGCGACGACCAATTATGGTATTGTTACGCGCTGGGGTTTGGGATAAATAAAAACTCTACCGAAGTGTAAATTAACATTGTATTTATCACTTAGAACACTCACAGAACACTTTAAAATTCTTAATTCACTTCTTCCGCTTCGATTCAAGTGATCCGTTGGCTGTTTCGCTTCGTGTAGTTCCGATTACTAACTAACTGCGTGCCATCTCTGCAACGCTTTTATAGTCGATACGATATCCCTAGAATTATCGAGAACATTCCACAAAAGTCGAATATTTTCGATGTTTGTTTCCGCTATCTGAGAATAGATGGCGTTGTACTTCTCGAGCGCTCTAGATGTTACTAGATCCTTTGAAATTTGTTTCGGCCATTCGGCGATAGATGGTGTTACTCTTACCGGCGAAACGGTATTAGGCGATTGTAGTCTTAATTGAAATGAGTAAAGACTCGCCTATCCTTCAAAGCAGAATGCGTAACTGCTTCGCGCCAGTGTAGACAAGAATGTGGTGCCTACCCGCACGGGTTCACAGTACGTCTGTGGGACAGTTTTACTTGAGCCTATCCGGATAATAATCAGGTTATACAATGCCGATTTTCCCAGTACACAAATAATTCTCAGTATATTATGGTATCTTCTCTTTGTTTCGTATTCAATCTTTCCATATTTTTTGTGTTTATTGACAAGCTTACTAGACTAGAATGTCAGGAGTTTATTAGTCGTAAAGCTGTGATTCCAATTTAATAATCACGTCGGTATAGGTTGTGACTGTATCTAACTTTAACAGTTAGTTGTAAGGCGAAAAATATGTATACATTTTTATCTGGTTAAACTTGTTTTCTTTCGTTTCCTGAAGATTGTCTTTCAAGTCCATTGGTTCAGTGCTTGGCAATACAGTAATAGCGAATAATTTTAGTGCCAATGGACTTTGTATCCGGCTAATAAATAAAAAAAAAAAAAAAAAATAAAAAAAAAAAATTATTGGGCCCTTTCTGACAGCGTTTGACAGTGACAGTGACAGTCAGTAATATTACATGGGCATACTCTGTTTTCAAAGCCGTGCATTTAAATAGCGAGAATTTGAAATTTTTACTTTCATCTCATATGTTACAAGCCTTTTTTTCCTACCTAAACTGATAGCCTTGAGAGGCTATGTGAGCGTAACTTAACAAGTAGGTGAGCTCACCGGGCTCAAGCCTGACGACGTTGCAAACAATAATCTTAGCAAGAGCAGTGCTTCGCGGAATCTACCACTGGATCGGAAACGATCACAGAAGATCCGGCGAGAAACTCAGTGGGCTGTCTGTGGGTTAATGTACTCGCCGAGCCCGTCATTGCAAGCGACGGGTTCGATGAGAACGATGACCGGGGTTAAAGGCCAATGCCTTTTTTCCTACCTAAGTTGATAACCTTGGAGGGGTTATGTCATCGTAACTTGACATTTAGATGAGCTCACGGGGCTCTAACCTGAAGAGATAAAAGCAGCGTGACAAAGGGGAATAATTTACCAATTGTGTAATTTATATGATTCTTTTATTTTATTTCAGATCATCGCACCGTTATGGAAGCTTAACGTGATTTCACAAACAACTTAGTATTATTATTTATTTGTCAATACGTAATAATAACCTAATGGTAGTTATTTACGTCTTTTATTCTAGGTTCTTGAAGAGATTGAACAAAGACATGAGATTTTTTTGTTGTAAATTTGTACATGTTTTATTTTGTAACTTGCACTCACATTTACCAAAACGTGATTGCTTATTGTGAGTTTTTTAAATTAATTTACTAGTAGAATGTTTTTTTGTTGTTGTTTTTTTTGTAAATAAAAGACATGTTAATTTTCGTTGGCGAAAAATGACAACGACTGTAGTTAAGATGCACTCGATCCTATTCGATTATATTAAATTAAATTTACGATTCCTAAAACGCACTTTTTAGTCAAAATTTTTATTACAATAGAAGAATTTCAATGTGGCGAACCACAATTGAGCTTGATTCTTATAAAAATATACACATTAAATCAGATAAGAAATTAATAAACAACTTTAATGTATTATTATAGATAATAGATACTCGTTTCATGCATTATGTACGCAAAATTGGAACGAGACTGCGAATTTTCGAAAACAAAATGCTTTATGTTATTAACAGAATTTATAATATACCCAAAAAAGCCACTGCTAACGGAAAAACGAAAGAAATTAGTGATTTCGTTCGTACAAACTGCCTTACTGACATTAAAAACATACACTTTAAGACAAAATTGCACATTGTCTTTCTATGTCACTTTCTACTTCATGAATTTGACTAAATTATTTGTACCTTTTTTATAATAAATTATTTTTAACGCATAAAAATGAATCACAAATGTAACGTGCAATAAATTAAATCATTAAAGAAATAATTGAGTCTCATTTATTTCAAATACCAGTCACCAAATATCATATTGGTTTTTTTCCTACCTATTACTACTAGTAACCTCGAGGGGTTAAGCCGACTTCACCGGACTTGTAGACGAGTTCACGGGGTCAGCTTGGGAGACATTGCTAACATCTGCCATAGCAAGAGCAGTGCTTCGCTGAATCTACCACCGAATCGGAATCGCGACCCACTGAGAAGATCCGGCCAGAAACTCAGTCGGCTGTGTCTGTGGGTTAAGTTGTACGGCGAACCCTTCGTCGCATTTTACTGGTCGACGAGAAAAGTTACTTGTTATTTGTCAAATCTAATGTTTCTTTTTGATTATTTATTTTGTCTCGTGAATGGGTAAAGGAGCTTAAGACCCATCGACATCACGACGTGAAAACCGCCATTCAACTTGAAATGTGAGGTCGTAGTCTCAATTATATTGTTCACGGCTGTCCCACTACACAAACGTCCCATCCCATCCCATTTCAAATGCGTCCCATCACCAGTAAATACCGGTGATGGTCGTAGTACGCTCCTGCCCAATCTATGGTAACCACTTAATGATGGGCCAGACCTAATCAGATGGGCCGTGAACTCATTCAGCTATTTACGCAATAACAAAACGAAGAGCAAAATCATCAGCCACCTCAGCATATGCAACGTAATAATAATAATATGTCAAAAGATCAAATATGGAAGAGCCAGACAAAAAGATAGGGGAGGACAAGCTCCAATCGTTATTTTCTGTCTCTACATGATATCGGAAATGTTCAATATTACTTTGACTACATAGATCATAATATCATGATTATCATGTAGGTTGATTGATTACACAATAAATTGAAGTGTCCGGTACACAATACAAGGTCAGGAAAACACATTAGTTTCGTTTATGTTCAATAGATGGCAGTGAACAAATATGTTTTTAGCAGTCTGAACAATTACTTTTTAAATTTCCAAATAAAATTCCCGTTGTATTTCAAAGAAATAATGACTATGGATTCAGATTAGAACTATAATTCAAATAAAGTATTTCAATTTTCATACAGGAACTCTAAATACTACTGAGGTAAGAAGTAGCCAAAACGTAATGTTACGAAAAATCCTCTACCTGCCTAAAAAGGTTAAAGCCGGTTCAGTTCCAGTTGATATAGTGAAGCCGTTTTGGAATTTGGCCCGTCTAAATATTAAAGAGGCAAAGAATATAAAAATGTGGGTTTAAGGTTTTGCTAAGTGCAAATAACCATTATGAACTGTAACAGTTATTATGTCGATCTGACAAACAGCTGATACTTTTATGCGCTGAGCAAGTATGTAATCACTTCGTTTTATGCTTTTATGTATCGTTATTAGGAATGTTACCATTTTTTGACATTGAAAACTAATAAAAACATCGCAATCTGACCGAGAATAGAAGGAATTTTCCGTTCTGATATTTCATGACCTCGCTCGCGTTAAACTTGAGCTCTTTAACTACCCGAGGAATCCGAGGATAGTGAACATTAATAGCACTTAGTTTAAGAGCGAAGTCATAGATGGCTCTGTAAATCTTCTAAATAACTGTGATTCATATTCAAATTGTTTTGAATTTATAATTAGATAAGATTTTGAGATACAAATTTACATACAAACTTTATCGATTCTAAAAAGCATAGTAAATCTCAATAAAAGGCTACCAAAAATATATTTACGAAGTGTTGATGTTTCTACTTAATTTGCTGACTAATAGGTTAGTGTTGTGTGCATATCACATACCATAATATAATTTTTCATTTATAGTATTATTTCTTAAGTAGATGTAGATGAATCTAATGGAATTAATTTATTTTCTTATTGTAAGTTGTAATTTAATATTTATGTACGTATTTACCTACATACATACTTAGTTTACATACTTCGTCTATTAATGTTTTTATTAAAATCGCATAGACAATGCAGGTGTTGGAATGAATGAATTTTTTTTACAGTGGTACCAACATCCGGTGTCAATATGCTACCTACTTACGTTTAAGTCTATAGTAAATGTATCAGAATAATAGGTAATAAATACTAGGTTAGCTGATGAAGAATTACTTACTGAAAACAAAATATTGCATGCGGTATGTAACCAATTACATTTTTTAAATTTATGTTTCAAATTTAGTTTTTCGTAACTATTTGGCGGGAAAAGTTTGACAGTGTAACATAAACTCGGGCGCGGCGCCGCGGCGTAGGGCGGCGGTAACGCCCCCGCAAGCTATAGTCGCGGGCGGGCGGTGGGTGGTATCACTTCCAAATTCTTTTGAAATTTTAAGAATTAAATTAGTGATACTAATAGAGACAAACGATGGTGGGGCTGCAGTTTGATTGATACTTGACGGCATTTTGACTTTAGGATTAAATTAAAGATATGTTCAAAACAATGGCAATAAACGTTACTATTTAGTGATCTACTTTTTTTTCTGATTTAAAGTTTTGTTTTAGTTTGTTCAGGCGAAGGTAACTTATTGTTCATGCTTAGATATTTAAAGGTACAAAATGTACTTGAATTGCGTGCTTCTGGTTTTCTTATCTATTTTCATTTCCAACTTCCTTCATCCTTATTTTATTTAATGCATGAAGGATTTCGATTTACTACGTCTGATAACATCAAGATCTACAACAATTTCAGTCATTTTAGGATCACTTAGCAAGTACAATACTAACAGGTTTTTAGCTGTGAATACTTTTAAAATCTATCACACTCAAAATACATTAAATGGGGCCACTTTGTTGGGTATAACTGCACAAAAAATTGTCTGATTAGGTTGAATCGAAATTTGATTTTAATTTGTATTAACTCAGTTAGTGACATTTACAGTAAAAATTACGATCTTTGGATCGTGTTGACATAGCTTCCAATTAACTTATTTGTCAAAATAAACGGCTTATGACAAATTATTAAGATAGTTTATTTAACTTGTTCTTAATGGACACAAGAATTATGCAAAGTGAGGTTACTGGCACGGAAATTGCATTCTATTCAAAAGAGCGGTCGGACTATGCTCTAGGTTATCATAGTAATTTGTTTACCATAAGACAGTCCTTTACCGGTGCTGATTAGCGAACAAAAACAGCGTAGTTTTCTTCACCATGCTAGTAACGTTACTCGTATTTAGTACCCAACCACAAGCCAAATTAATCTAAATTTATGGTAAAACAAAAGTTGAATGTCAGTAAGTAAGATAGAGTACATGCCTTATCGAGAGTCGAGACCTAGAATAAGTGAGTAATGACTTTCGCAATTTAAAATGCGAGAAAAAGAATATTATGTTTTCCCTATCTATGCTAGTAGCCTTGAGAGGCTATTTCAGCTTATCCTTGACGTGTAGGTGAGCTCACGGAGCTCAAACCGGGGGTGTTGCTAACGCTGGGCTTAGTAAGAGCAGTGCTTCGCAGAATCTATCACTGCATCGGAAACGCGACCCAATGAGAAGATCCAGCGAAAAACTCAGTGGGCTTTCTCTATGGGTTAATTTACTCGTCGAGCCTTTCGTCGCAAGCGATGGGTTCGGCGAGGACGGTGATCGGGGTAAAATATATTTGATGGCATAATACAGTAAAGGTAAACAAATTGCTAAGTACTAAGACTCCGCCAGACATTTTTTTTTGTTTTTTTTTCATATCTTTTCTCAGATATCGTTATTTGTAGAGTACTATAATATTATTATAAGAAGTAGCATTCTACGTCTACTAAGCTGTACGCTCGATACCTAGGATTTTTGTAAATTTTTCATGGACACAATATAAAGAATAAATACTATTATTGAACGGGTTCTTACTACGATTTTTAGTTTTAATGAGTTCCCGAAATTTGGGCATTCTTCTAAGAGCCATGATCGTAGAAGACTGTGCGCAGGACGTTAGAAGCAAAAAAATCTGTCTACCCTCTTCTAGACCGTCTTCGGAAGCTTCCACTGAAATCCGATCACTTTTCCCGACAACGTAGATTCGGTATCTACAGTTATTTAAAAAAACTTTAAGAACAAATTGTTTTATCTAAGACTACATAGCATTCTGTGTTTCAAAGAAGTTCGAAAAATCTGTTTCATGTTTTAAAATAAGTAGAAAACGAGTAGCAAGCCTAGCTGCGTATGCTCGTACGCACGCTTAAGTTCGGCTCCTCTTATCTATGACGTACTTATTTGGTGGCAGGTAATGTTTTGTTAATCAGCTAATTGACGTGAGATGCAGCATGACTCATAAGAACTAGGGCGTGTCTGGACGCGGGGCGGGTAGCGCAATCGGTCCGGCCCGCCCACGATTACTTCCGCATCCGTCAGATCATCAACTCTTCATCTCTAGTATAATAACTAAAAATTATCTACCACTGATTCCCCCTTAAAACTTCACCACAGTATTGAATAGAAGGGCTTAGTTTACAGCGATTGTACCTTTATTGGTTTATCACATCTAATCATGAAATAGTTTGACTAATGCCAATTCAACATTAATATCGCACTAAAGTGTCACTAATGCCGTTCTATTCATCTAACGCTACGAGTTTCTATGTCTTAAGTATATACGAGTAAACTAACACAACACTGTCATCATCTTGAGAAGCAAAGGGATGCTCACGCAATCAATTTATTGATCGTTTACTGGCTAGCTACAAAACAATCAATAAAGCCTGACCGAGCTCAAGCATTTGAAATAGTGTTGTGTGCCTATTATGACGGAACTTGCAAGATACTCTTCTATTTGAGTATGCCACAAATCAATTCAAGCGCTCATGAGTGTTGGTGATGCACGGCTAATCGTTTTACTATAATAACATGAAGCTTTTCCTAGGTAAGGAGTCTAGAAAACACTTAAAATTAGATAGGTAGACTACTGTTGTCAACATAGGTGAAAAAAGTACATATGGCAGTAAAATAACAAACACTCGAGAAAGATTGATGAATGAATAAAACGAGAATGCCACCCTCTGCCGGAGACTCATTCTTAAATAATAGGGTGTTTGGATTATAGCCACGGGCCATTTTTATTGAAATAAAATAACTTGAAGAATTAAGCCAAGAGACAAGTTTTTTTTTTCAATTAAAACACATAGTTGTTCTTCACAGTACTTTATATTTATATTGAAAAGCGAATCAAAAAATATATTTTCTTATAAGGAAATAGCGTTGAACAATAATTCTGCGGAAACTATAGTGTTTTATGAACGACACTCGATTCTATGATTCAGTTTCCCGTCCCGGTCGAAGAAAAATTAAACTGTTCTTTATTCATTAACATCAACGTAAAGTATAATTTGTATCGGAATTCTCAATCCCGTCTAAACAATGAGTTCAATTGATTTCATCACTCGCTTCGTTCGTAGACTCATTAAACAGATATACTCAAAGCGTATCACGTCATTTAGCTACTGTGTGCCACATTTCCAAGTCAAGGTACACCCATACTGCGTCACTCACAGTTCAGTAATGTCGCATAAATAACCACACTACTTAAGCCCAAACAACTTTGTTTCTTACGTATTAAAGTCTAATTTAGTTTGATATTTTCTTAGGGACTAGTGAACTGAGATCGCATGTTTCTATCGTGTATTTTAGAGAAATTTGGACATTAGAGAGAATTGTATAAAGATCAAATCACTTTTAGGAGTTGAATTTTAATTAGGCACAGGATACATGCTCTCATGGGACATTCGTGCATAATGGACTTGAGTAAAGTGAATCAGCCGACGCTTGACAAAATTGCGGTTTGACTTTCACTCTTATTCTGAACCTGTCTAAACCTATAAATAATGAGAGCGTTGGATCTTCATAATATAGTTTGTTATTAGTTTTTTAGAAAGTTTTGTGAATCACTGCTATTATTTAATTTCAAATTTTATTCAATTGTTTTGTAAAATGAGATATTAAAAGCAAAGTATTTAATAACAAGTGAGGGTTTTTAAATTTTTAACCATCAAAGCGGAATTCTGTATCTGATTTTGAATATAGAATTAGATTTTTGATGCATATTTTACATATTTAACACCATATCGGTATCAAGCACTTTGAGTGGTGAAACCCTTTATCTAAAAATCACAACGAGCAACTTGTTCTTATCGATTGTTTACAGACCACGTGTAGATGTGCAATGCATCTGACGCGTCGAGCGTAACAAACATCGTGACATGTGTGCATTTTTTGCCCGCCCAAGGAGGCCGCTGGTGCGAGGTTATACACCCATTATTACGTCCTTCCTACTTTCGATTATTATTATCGGGCGGCAGCGACGCACCCGCGACGGGGAGGAGTAGAAAAGCGCAGCTGCTACCTACCAATAATCAAGATCTGTCTCGGTTAGAGCGAGACGGAGCTCACATTAATTATTAAAAAGTTAGAAGATATAGTTCGTGGCGCAATTGCCAAATTAAAATAATATGTACATGACATTCTCTACGAATCCAAAAACGTATCTATCAATATTGGCCTTTAAATTTCGGTCTTAATTATTAGAATATCTGAATAAAGTTTCTGTTGCCCGAACGTGATGGGAGGCGGATCTACGAAAATTGCCGAGCGTATTCGTCATGACTCGTCAGTTCACTCGCCGCAGTTTGGCGGCCGGTCGTGAGGATGGTGCGTTCTATACGTAGACAAAGAATTATTTTTGTTTGCCATCATAAAGTAGATAATGTCGCCTGAGCCTACAAAAGTGCAGGTGGAATACATCAACGAGGAAAAACCTATAAAGGTAATTCGCACAAAGTGAAAGGATTCTGTGTTATTGTGTAACATATCGGACGCCAGCGGGCAGTGGTCTCGTGTTGGCGCAGGGGGAGGGCGGGGCGAACGCGGCCCCGGCCGTGTGGGGCCCGCCAGGCCACACGCAGGAGGTTGTGACCGTATTGCGAGCTACTCCCTTGCCGAAATAGAAACAGCATCCTCCTACGGAGTTGCTTCCCACCTATTTATAAACACAACTCAATCAGTTTATTGGAATACCATATTTATCAAAAGACAGCAACAGCACCATGCATGCCTAATTATAGAACAAAATATCCAACGTGACATGATTCTTTTAAAACAGGCTTTATGAATTCACATTTTGATCTTTGGACGAGTTTATGAATTACCTAAATTATTATGCATAATGAGGGTTGTTTAATAGTTTACCAGATGTATAAAATCACAGTCATGCGATTTCTGGTGGGTGGATCAAAGGGCGGCAGCGGCCTTGCCTACGACGACTCCCGGCACTTGTTAGGAAAAGGCGTGTCGATACAACTATTGTAACTTTGTTTCAAACTACATAAAATATATTATAATTTAAAACAATGATGAAAATATTGAACTTCACTCCAAAATTATTTTTGTGTTGGTCATAATTTAATTGTCAACGCTACTTAGTTATGGATACTCGTATTTGTATAGGCCTAGTTAAACTAGCTGATATTTTATTTTCATATCTATTGATTGACTGAATGGTTTATTTATCGGAAACAAGAATGAGATGTTTTAAATAGCGAATGTTTGTCTATGAAGAAAAAAAATCTTGAACGAACAACGCCAATGTAGTAAACAATCATCGAACGGTATCGTTTAAAAAGTTAAAGAGTTTGACAGATCTTCCTTGAAATTTGTTACCTACTTGAAAATGGTTTTACCGCCAAATTATAAAGTTTTCAAAGCAATGTTTCCGTTAGATTTATCTGTTATGGTAGTATGAATTACTAGATTAAAAACTTCCATAATAATATGTAGCTAGTAGCGTAATAACTTATTGGATGTACATCTTGTATAGGAATAAGAAGGGTCACCACGGCTGGTGAGAAGACGCCCTTGCATTTTTTTGAAAAGTCAATCTAATGCTCTCCCTAATATTTTAACGACTTCCTGTAAAGTTGTTGTAATCTATAAATACTTAGTTTAATTTAATTTGTTTCATACCAAAATAATAATTATGAAATCCTAGCCTACTGTAAACATTATATTTACAATAAAAGGCATAACTTTAATTTCTCTTGAATCTTTAATATTTTGTACAAGGTAGTTCAGTGTTCAGTAATCAGTCTAATATTTTTATCTATCATTGTTGCAACTCTTTAAAAAAATATGTATATTTTGAGTTTAAATTAGCAGATTTTTGAGTGCTTAGAACAATATCAGTGTTAAGGTCACACTAAAATGTATATTATTATTGTTTGAATAAATTATGCATAGCACAATAGAGGTGGTAAAATAATTTAAATGTCTAAAGTGCTGTATTTAAATGTGATGTGTCAGAATGAATATGTGCAAATAATAAAATAGGTTTTAATTTTTGGACTCCTACTTTTGGACTATGTTACTTATGAACTGTACTTATATACTATAGTATTATAAAATATCTCTTAAAGGAGTATAAAATCTTAATATAAGAAGTTGTTTAAAATTAGCTACATTTCTAAATGGATAGCTAAATTTCTAAAAAAAAAATCATGCATATTGAAGTTATGTGTAAAGGAAAATCGCCATAAGAAATCCATTTTTTTTAATTTAAAAAGTCACATATTTGTAAAAAAAACTTAAGCTAAACCTACTATGAAAATTGAATAGGATTCAGCCGTGAATAATATTCGAACCATATGTTATAGTTATAACCATATATTCAAGGTTATGAATTAATTTTGTAGAGCATGTAAGGTAATATTAGCTTTTCTTAAAATAGAAATGAACTTCCCATAAAATTAAAATATTATTGAATGAAATAAAATTGCAAAATTAGTAAGTCTACAGTAAAAATTAGTTGAGAGCTAAGCTAAATATTTAGTATTCAAGTCGGTAATTTGCCACTGGTTTTGAATATATAAGTTCTAAGCTATGTAATTTATTCGGTATGCCTGTCATAATATTGCACACTTTTCTTTCGTTGTGGATTACATAAAAAAATTGTTGTAATGTGATAATTTACACTAGTTTTGTATGATCTGTACTGTAAATAATAAATTTTTGAATTTTTTGTTTCTTATAAAACAATATATTTTTTTGTTTCGGCTATCCTACTGAAGTTCATCCTATAGAAATAATAGTATTTACTATTTGGATAAAAATCAAAACACATACTCAATTTACTGTTATAAACGTGATTGTGTTTCAGGAGGGCAGCGGCAGCCAGTCGCCCCTGGCCTTATTGGCTGCTACTTGCAGTCGTCTCGGTGCTGCCAACATGGGGCCCGAACAGCAGCAGTCAGATAAAGAGCAGCAACATCACTTCAGTTAGTATTGCATTGTCTGGTTAGAAGCGAATGCAATAAGCCTCACTTATTTCAATGTTTCATAATGATATTTATATCAATACTACTAGCTGCACCCGTCCGCTTAGCTGGGCATTTAAAATTAACATTATTATTTCTCACCCCCACAAATATTCTCATCATTAACACCCCCGCAACTGGTGTAGGGAGTCCAACACTCATATAAATATTAGCCTATCCATTTAGTACGTGTATTTTCTACATGGATACCAAGTTTCAAGTCAATCGGATGCATGGTTCAGTAGTTATAACGGAATATCCATAAAAACCACTGTAGATTTATATATTAGTATAGATACATATATCATATTTGACAATAAGTTCTCTAATACTGAATTAGTATAATAAATATTATTAGATTATTCAGTTCTGATGATGGTTTTAACAATTAGGTCCACAACAACAACAGACACAACAGCAGCAAGTGCAACAGGCACAGCAACAGCAACAAGTGCAGCAACAGCAAGTGCAACAACAGGTTCAACAACAGCAAGTGCAACAGCAACAAGTACAACAACAACAAGTGCAACAACAACAAGTTCAGCAACAGCAAGTGCAACAGGCACAACTTATACAACAACAAGTGCAAGGTGACGCAGCAACAATAGCTGCAATACAACAACAGTATTTACAACAACAGCAGCAGCAGCCGCAGTTAAGGGTTATTAGTTCTGCTGTAGTGCAGCAGTTGCGAGCTCAAGGATTATCAGTGAGTTTTTATTTTTAATGACCCTTTTGTTTGAAGCTATTCAATAGACAAGATATGTTTATATTGATTTATTTAATTGATATATTTTGTACACACAGCTGTTAGAAGAAAACCGACAATAAAAATACAGAGAGAGAAATACAAGGGCACTACTTATTTCATGTTGAAATCTCTTCCGGTAGGGCCGTAGAAGGCGCATTTACGTTGTAGATGTCTATGGGCTCCAGTAACCACTTAACACCAGGTGGGCTGTGAGATCGTCCACACATCTAAGCAATAAAAAAAAAAAAGAAAAAAAGAAGAATTAGGAACACAAACCTAGTGCATACAGTAAACATTACATATAATAGTTAGGATTATGTAGGATTAGTAGTTAGGATTATGTAGGATATTAAATAGTAAGGCTCTAGTAACCACTTAACATCAGGTGGGCTGTGAGCTCGTCCACCCATATAAGCAATAAAAAAAAAACTCTTTCGTAGAACCATTTGATAGAAGGAATGAAAGAGAAAGAGCGATAATGAGCATGTTGCCTTAAATGGACTCCCTGGTTTGTGATATGTCGAGCGATTCAGAACCATACGTGGAGTCCTAAAGCTGTTTCGGTAGCTTTGAGATTAGGCTGGTCGTTTTTGAAGGCACAGCGATAAATGCTACAAGTGGAGTTGTCACTAAAACAAGTATCGAAGATCGATGCGACCATCGTAGCCGTTGTTCAAACTCTGGTACAGTGTCGCCCAGTCAAGTAGAACTGCGGATCGCGAGGGTTGCCAGCGACTGGATTATTAAGTATAAATCGACTGCCACATACTCATCCCACAGCCCTAACATGTGGTTTGTTGACTTGGCGATTGTACTTATAAAAACAAAGAACTTATGTGCCAATCGACAATGAGTCCGAATAATTATTCTGAAAAATATACAACTCAATTATAAATTCAAATAGACTGTTGAATGTGTGAGCATTTAATTTTATGTATGAACGTCATGAATGAATCTTTACTTGTTTTTTTGTTTTGTATATTAGACAGATTACATAATATGAGCTGTAGGTAACCAGTTCTTTTGAGTCTGAGTCACAAAAACAACACATTACAACACAACATTTTAAATATAATAATATAGACTTCTGTTTACGAAACACACTTATCCGGATTACTTTATAGTTAATTTAACATACTATAAGATACATAAGATCTCATTTGAGGATGGACAAGTCTGTTCGGCGGGCAGTCCGTGGGTTTCGTCACCAATTGGGTGTTTGTTTCTGATTCGGATAAATTCATACCATCATCAATTTCTGTGAAGATAAAAATAACGTATTTTCTTTGGTATAATTATACATGAGGCCGTCAGCGCAAAAGTGGCCTAAGCTTACCACAGTTAGTATGCAGGCAATTAGATTTGAATTTTCATGAATTTGAATTTGAGTAGGAAAATAAACAATACGCGCAAAAATAATGTTTACAAAGCTACCTGTTATCTATGGGTGAAACTATGGATAGGCCGGTTTTGCATCAAAAGTTATTATATCTATACATATAAATAAAATTGGAGTGTCTGTTTGTAATATTAAAATAACCGCCTTTTACTACATGCATATGAATATATATACGGTACATACAACAAAATAACATTTTATATAATATTTGTCTGTCTGTCTGTCTGTTTGTTTGTTCCGGCTAATCTCTGGAACGGCTGGACCGATTTTGACGGGACTTTCACTGATAAGCTAGGTAGCTGATGATATAAGGAGTAACTTAGGCTACTTTTTTTAGACTAGCTTCGCTCCGCGGCGTCACCCGCGGTACGACAATAACCGCGGGTAACATCGCGGGACTCAACTATCAATAATAAAATTTAATGTTTCCGAAGCGAAGCGAGGGCGGGTCGCTAGTTTTAAATAAATTCCAATATACGTCATATAAGCTTAATATAAAAAAATGTGGGTTAGGCCACTTTTGCGCTTATGGCCTCACATATAATAGTTTTCTCGAAGTCTTGCAGACCAACCTTAGTCTCCCTGAGTTGTTTTTTCTGTCTGCACTTACAAAAAAAACCGTTCTATTGTTGCAGGGCAATGAGTTGTCGGCGGCTATTGTGAATGCCGCGAACAGTGTTCCGAATGGCATTCAAGTTCAGCAGCCACAGGTACGTTACAACGTAAATAAAGCAGTTTATTTGGATTTCAATAAGCACATTCCTAATAAATAAATGAAATATCAAATAATAATAATAAAAAGTGCGCTTCGGAACTGGTGGTAGGACCTCTTGTGGGTCCGCGTGGGTGGGTACCACCACCCTGCCTATTTCTGCCGTAAAACAGTAATGCGTTTCGGTTAGAAGGGTGGGGCAGCCGCTGTAACTATACTTGAGTCCTTAGAACTTATATTTCAAGGTAACCACTTAATACCAGGTGGGCTGTGAGCTCGTCCACCCATCTAAGCAATTAAAAAAAAAACAATGATTTTAACTTTAAATTGGGAATTTAACACGTTAACTGCCATGTAGGTCACCGGTGCCCTACGTGGCGCACTCAAGTAACTATGTCGATTTTGGTTACTAATGAGCCTGGATTGCCTAAATTTGCTTTCTTTTGTTTGTGAATGTATTTTTTAGTCTTTTAAGTCTCTTAGAAATAGATTATTTCTCAGCATCGTTCCCAGAATCAATTAAATGCCACTAAAGTAATTTTTCGATTTCTCTCTTCAATCTTCTTACTAAGGCGCCGGAATATCGGAATTGATTCTGGGAACGATGCTGAGAAATAATCTATTTCTAAGAGACTTAAAAGACTAAAAAATACATTCACAAACAAAAGAAAGCAAATTTAGGCAATCCAGGCTCATTAGTAACCAAAATCGACATAGTTACTTGAGTGCGCCACGTAGGGCACCGGTGACCTACACGGCAGTCAACGTGTTAAGGTAATTTTAGTATGAACACACTTGGCCTCCTGTATATATATATATATATTTAAAGGAAAGTTTCAAACGTACTTTTTAGCAATTTTAAGACGTCCGAATAACTTGGAAATCTGTGCACGTATCAATGACAATAAAATAAGGTCACATATACTGGGTTAACAGTATAAAAAATATATTTGAATTTTTAATGTGACCAGTTATTCAGACTAGTACAAATAAGATTTGTCTCAATACAATATCTAATGTAAAGAAATGAGTTTTACTATCGGCCCTACAATATTAATGAGTAAAGGCTAGTTTACAAACTTCGTTGTTACGAATTCCTTGCTTAACTATCAGTCAAGTATTCAACTATCAGTCACGCTTTGGTAAATAACTCTGTTTTAACAAATATTATACACATATCATAAATCGGTCTTCGTTCAGAAAACTGGTAATCTGTAAATCTGGTAGTTACTAGTGGTAGGACCTCTTGTGAGTCCGCACGGGTAGGTACCACCACCAAAAAAAAACCGCCCTGCCCATTTCTGCCGTGAAGCAGTAATGCATTTCGGTTTTAAGGGTGGGACAGCCGTTGTAACTATACTGAGACCTTAGAACTTATATCTCAAGGTGAGTGGCGGCATTTACTTTATAGATGTCTATTGGCTCCGCTAACCACTTGACACCAGGTGGGATGTGAGTTAGTCCACACATCTAAGCAATAAAAATAAATAAAAACAAAACTAAAATGACGGTTTGTGACGTCACCGCCATTAAGTTGCTACGTGCAAGAGAGATAGCGATATGCACCCACTACGCCCATCCCCTTTGTGCTCTTTACTACCCGTGTCTTACGCAGAAGATGTTTAACCTAGCCTTATATACAGCCTTATATATTTATTAATGACCCGGCAGACTTCTTAGTGCCTCAGTCGATAAATAAAAGACCTAAACTTTTGTATAAAATAAACTTAAAACAAACAAAAGTAATCCGTCCGACGGGGGACACATCAAAGGAAAAACTAAATTGTTATTTTTATTTAATTCGAAGCATTTTCATATTTATCAACCTTTTAAACCTTCTCTGGACTTCCACAAATAATTCAAGACCAAAATTAGCCAAATCTGTCTAGCCGTTCTCGAGTTTTAGCGAGACTAACGAACGGCAATTCATTTTTATATATATAGATAAATTTGTTATATTCCAGGTTATTTCTATGCAGCAGCTGCAGTCGCTACTGGGCGGCGGCGTGGTGCCGAACGAAAGTGCTACATATCAGAACTCACCGCAACAACTCTTGCAAATACATCCGCAACTGTTGCAGGTATTGATATTTCGCGAAGCAATTGCTCTTGACTTGTTAGGTCTCATTCGGAGGCGCTCGGGAAGGTAGCAAATCCCACCACACCTGGCTGAGCCTTTGCTCGCCCACATGTCCTGGTGAAACTGGAAAGGCCTCCGGGCCACCAGTAATCTTTCATTAATAAAAAAAAAGGTAATCATATTTACAATACAATTGAGACTTCAACCTCAAGTCTAAGATGAGTGACGGCTTTTACTTTGTTAAACCCGCTCGTTCAACCTATGTAAACAATAAAAAGGAAATATGTTCAATTTAAGAAATCTGCAAAGGAACTCTTAGCATCTTCATAAAAATCAAGCTTTCTAGAGATAATAAAAAAATAAAAAAATTTAATGTAATTAATTAGCTAGTCATATTAGAGTTAAAATCAAACAATCGGGAAAACGATACTGTTTTCTTTCAAGATCTTTGTTTTATAAAATTAATAATATTCTTCTTTAAGCTACTCGAATATTTTTGTCTAGTTTAATTGTGGAGTGGAGCACTGGTTTATAATTATATTATTTTTACGTCAGTTACTGTTATGTTTATAATATCCCTCCCCAGCAACAACCGGGCGGAGTGTACGGCGGTTGCCTGGTGGGCGGCGTGGCTCCCATGCAAGCCGTCACCGTCGACGGGCAGGATGCTCTCTTCATACCAGCACAACACGCTCAGGTATTACAATCCACATGAGCTTTCTCGACTCAATCAACTCTAGAATATGGAGGGTAGAGATAAGGAGAACCGTCGCATATGAGAGAAGCCTGAAAAAGTGTCCCATTATTTATTTACTTTTTATTTATTACCTTTGTAGGCAGACTAGCATACGGCCCACCTGATGGTGAGTGGTTACCGTCGCCCATGGACTTAAGCAGTGCTAGGGGCAGAGCCAAGCCGCTGCCTACCGCTTAATACTCTTCACAAGCCTCGTTTGAAGAAGGACATATCAAAGCGCTCAGGAAACCCCGTGGAGGGGAGCTCATTCCATAGCCGGATGGTACGTGGCAAAGAAGACCTCTGGAAACGCACTGTCGATGAACGCAGCGGTTCCAGATAATATGGAATATTTTCAAAACTAAATAACAGTTCAAAAATCCTCCAGAATGGCGCTGGCATAGGCGCAGGGTATGATATGAATTGAGCAGCTGTTAACTGATAGAAGTATGCTGAGTCAGGAAATTTAATATATTTAATGACTAGAGTAGTTAGTGACAGTGTAATATACAGGACCTCACGTGTTTACGTAGTCCAAACTAATTTCGTCAATATAACCTAAAATTATTGCTGTGGTAAAACGTGGAGACATCGATTGCATTTTCTTATCAGCTTTAAATAAAATACTTTTTGTAATTTTGTAGTGCTTACAGTTCTTTCGTTCTTTTTTATTTCTCTATCTTATTCTAATAACTTTCAGCGCCTTTTTTAAATTTACCCGGTTGCTACTGTGGCGCCACTCTTATTTAGTAGATTTTAACGGACACTTTCACACACAGAGACGGTTCTCCTTACCTCTACCCTCCATGCCCTAGAATTCGTAACACGTATGCTGTTACCTACCTTCAAACATACGACCGAATGCTCATTAGTATTATATGTTTGAACCAATCCTCAGACCCGACGCAGTAGTGCCTTGTGACATAAAGTCGTCGTGGCCTAAAGGATAAGACGTCCAGTGCATTCGTATGTAGCGATGCACCCGTGTTCGAAGCCCGCAGGCGGGTACCAATTTTTGTAATGAAATACGTACTTAACAAATGTTCACGATTGACTTCCACAATAAAGGAATAACATGATGTAATAAAAATTCAACCCGCAAAATTAAAATTTCCGTAATTACTGGTGGTAGGACCTTTTGTGAGTCCGCGCGGGTGTACCACCACCCTGCTTATTTCTACCGTGTAGCGGTAATGCGTTTCGATTTGAAGGTTAGGGCAGCCGTTGTAACTATACTGAGACCTTAGAACTCATATCTCAAGGTGGTTGCATTTACGTTGTAGATGCTTATGGGCTCCGGTAACCACTTCACACCAGGTGGGCCGTGAGCTCGTCCACCCAAATATGCAATAAAAAAAAACATAAATGGGCAGGATGGTCGGTCTACCTATCATCACTAACTTTATATCTAAGGTGGACAGCGTTGTCTATGTTGTTGAGTCTATGAGTTCCAATTACCACTTAACACGAGACGTGTCGTCAATTCGTCTGTCTATCTACCCTAATAAATACATCTAAAAAAAATTTTTTTATTGCCTAGACAAGCGAAGGGGTACCTAGTCTTAAGACACTCTTAACACTTCTTATGAATATTGCCATTCCCCTTGAGACTTGTGACCGAAGTGTCGAGTCCTTTTGTAGACAGAGCCTATGACAGTTTTGCGGCAGAAATCAGAACGAGCTTTTATGTCACCATTTTTTTTTTTAATTTTTTTTCAGGCAATAAGACTATTTATTAGAAATCTATACATAAATTCGCATTTTTTATAAAGGATCTCTATCAATGTTTCTGGTTTATTGGATGTTCGGTTAAACAATGTGATTTTCTTTCCAGAACTTCTCCGGTATGGGACAAGTCAGTCTCGTGAACGGACAGCTGGTCAGAACGCCGGTACTGCCGGCTGGCTTCCTGCAAAACGTCATGCATCTACCAACAGGTAAACTAAACCAATAAAAAATAAATAAAAATAATAACATACATATCACATTTATAGACCTTATTTGTTTAATTACATCAGAATACATCGTAACGTTTAGTTAACATCCAGACCATCACATTAGCTTCGGGAATGCTTAAGGGATTTTCATTTTCTTTGCTTATCCAAATACTAAATACTTTTTTTTATTATTATTCTTTAAATATTGAAACGATAAAGCGTATTACTCTTCAATAATAGTAAACAGCGACCTCAGAAAGTCGTTTGATTATCTTAAAAATAGTCGTTGTACTCGAAGGAGATACACTATGTCGTTTTACATAAAAACTATTTATTTCCAACCACTATCTAATGCATGTACGTAACCCGAACTTAATTATGGTTACATTCACTAGATGATGCGTTTTATTTGGATGAGTGCAGTGTGCAGAATAATGATTTGTATGCAGACGGCTTAAGATTGAATTTGGAATCTAATGTTAGCTACTTAAGCCAGTTTGACATTTGTAATTCATTGATAGAATTGAATTAGCAAAGATAGGAAAAGCCGGAAAGAGAGTTACTATTTTTTATTTGTTATAACTGACCCGGCAGACTTCTTAGTGCCTCAATCGATAAATAAATTACCTAAACTTTTGTATAAAATAAACTTACAACAAACAAAAGGAATCCGTCCGACGGGGGACGCATCAAAGGAAAAGCAAAATTGTTATTTTTATTTATCTACCTTTTAAACCATCTCTGGACTTCCAAAAATAATTCAAGACCAAAATTAGCCAAATCGGTCCAGCCGTTCTCGAGTTTTAGCGAGACTAACGAACAGCAATTCATTTTTATATATATAGTTATAGATGAGTCTGTTGGTAACAACGACTGCATACAAGTGAGAATTGTGCACGCAACACCTCCAATAAAACCGTCGCATGCCTGTCGCTTCTAACAACTGTCATACTAATACGTGTTTTCCCCGGCCCGTTCCCCGGCACAGAGCAACAGGCCACCGTCACGATCCCGGGCACTAACCTATCCATACCCTTGAGCGCTTTGACCGGGAACCAGCCGATGATCACGATCCCCGGGGCGAACGTTACGTTACCGGGGATACAAATACAAGGACAGTCCGTCCCTTGTAGCTCGGTCGCCGACAAGCAAAAGGACAAGGAGCCGTCCAGCCCCACTGCGCAAGGTACCGCGTGTTACCGTGCTGGAGAACCTTCTCGATGCTTCTATTCCGATATCGATTGCTTAATTATCAACACGTCACAGACTACTGCTACTGTAAAGTGATTGGTACATTTGCAATGCTAATTTACTCTTTATAATGTCATAATGTACACCCATTTCACGGTTTGCTATCTCGTTTTGTACGTTTGATTGCTCTGCTTTTTTTATATATGATATATCATTACCAAATGAGATGCCGTAAATAACTGTTTTTATTTCATTGCAAATTAGTTTAGAGATAAAGAAAATATGCTTACAATAATCGAAATACAATAGTCAAAGTTTTCTTCGAACTATTGTGTGAGGAAAATCATTTTAGATACATATTTTTTTGTCAGTTGGGTGAACGAGCTCACGGTCCACCTGGTGTTAAGTAGTTAGCGGAGCCCATAGACATCAAAGACGTAAATGCCGCCACCCACCTTGATATATAAGTTCTAAGGTCTCAGTATAGTTACAACGGCTACCCCACCCTGCAAACCGAAACGCATTACTGATTAACGGCAGAAATAGGCAGGGTGGTGGTATCTACCTATGCGGACTCACAAGACGTCCTACCACCAGTAATAATATGAGTATGGCTTAGATTAAGTAAGCATATATAATGCCAATCAATACTTTGTAGTAAATGTGGCAAGATTGATATATTTTGTTTAAAATATTTAATAGAAGCATATGAAAATTTTCTCCACTAGTAATCATTCCTTTTTCACTCATTGTACTAGCTTTTGTGTACTTTCTTGAATTCTGAGCTTGGTTTTTGCACAACATCTTATCACTTGTAGACTTCACCCATCATTTATTTAGTTTTCATGCAAAGACTATTATTATCATTTGCCTTTTTAGACAATAAAATATATTTGCACACAAAAACACTTATTTGTTCTGGTTTAAAACACTGAAGAAATAAATAGAGAATGATGACATATAATATTGAAATATGAATAATTAATTTTACATTGAATAATTAAAACATACTTTCAACAAGGAGAGGATAGAACGAATTTTGGAAAGTGTATAATCGGGCTTGTCAGGTGGAATGGACCTAAATCGATTACAATTTTAGTATTGAGAAGATTAGTAGCGAGAAAACTGGAGGTTTTGTCGCGAGAAAGTTGCTGAGGAATACGAAGGCATAGTGGCCATCTTGTTGTAGAACTTCAGCATTGAACTGGAGTTTTATTTAGTTATAATATTTTTATGGGTTCAGATTTGAAGAATTTCAATGTTTTTAACTGTTAATTCAAAATCATAGTTTTGCAGCACCACGTAAATTGCGGTGTGGTCTGTATTAAAAAAAAAGCAATGACATCTTCAGATTTGAAGAGTTTCAATGTTCTTAATTTAATTCAAAACATAGTTTTGCAGTACCACGTACAGTGCGGTGTGGTCTGTATTTAAAAAAAAACAATGACACTGTACATTTTCAGATTTGAAGAATTTAAATGTTCTTAATTTAATTCAAAATCATAGTTTTGCAGCACCACGTACAGTGCGGTGTGGTCTGTATTTTAAAAAAAACAATGACACTGTACATTTTCAGATTTGAAGAATTTAAATGTTCTTAATTTAATTCAAAATCATCGTTTTGCAGCACCACGTACAGTGCGGTGTGGTCTGTATTTTAAAAACAACAATGACACTGTACATTTTCAGATTTGAAGAATTTAAATGTTCTTAATTTAATTCAAAATCATAGTTTTGCAGCACCACGTACAGTGCGGTGTGGTCTGTATTTTAAAAAAAACAATGACACTGTACATTTTCAGATTTGAAGAATTTAAATGTTCTTAATTTAATTCAAAATCATAGTTTTGCAGCACCACGTACAGTGCGGTGTGGTCTGTATTTTAAAAAAAACAATGACACTGTACATTTTCAGATTTGAAGAATTTAAATGTTCTTAATTTAATTCAAAATCATCGTTTTGCAGCACCACGTACAGTGCGGTGTGGTCTGTATTTTAAAAACAACAATGACACTGTACATTTTCAGATTTGAAGAATTTAAATGTTCTTAATTTAATTCAAAATCATCGTTTTGCAGCACCGCGTACATTGCGGTGTGGTCTGTATTTTCAAATAAAAACATTGACACTATACATCTTCAGATTTGAAGAATTTAAATGTTCTTAATTTATTTCAAAATCATCGTTTTGCAGCACCACGTACAGTGCGGTGTGGTCTGTATTTTAAAAAAAACAATGACACTGTACATTTTCAGATTTGAAGAATTTAAATGTTCTTAATTTAATTCGAAATCATCGTTTTGCAGCACCGCGTACATTGCGGTGTGGTCTGTATTTTCAAATAAAAACATTGACACTATACATCTTCAGATTTGAAGAATTTAAATGTTCTTAATTTAATTCAAAATCACAGTTTTGCAGCACCGCGTACATTGCGGTGTGGTCTGTATTTTCAAACAAAAACAATGACACATCAGCTCGTCCACGCGGTGGGTGTATGGGTATGGGGTGAGTGCGGTTGTGCATAATGCTTGTGCGTGCAGGGGGCGGCGTGGCGGTCCGCGGGGGCATGGTGCCCGTGCAGGTGCCGGTCAGTGCCAACGGGCACACGGTGTACCAGACGCTGCATTTGCCGCTGCACGCCGCGCACCACGCGCCGCACCATCTACAGATCATACCGCAGCTGCAGCAGGTACAGTAGATTGGGGGAAATAGAGACTAGAGTTAGAACAGGGACAGATCTTTTTTTTTTCTTCTACTTTAACACCTGCGATCAGTCGCCAAGACTATAATCAGGTGAGTTGCGAGAGGTTATGGTTTGGAGGGGCAGAGCCAATGCTCCGTCTCGCCTTAGTAGGGTAGCACGTCGGCTCTCTTAAGTCTTCTAATCTAATTTGGCTCCAAGAGTAAGGTGGACAACGGGTTTGGGTGAGCTGTCAAGCGATTCTTATAGTTGGCTGAGTATTGTTTAACTTCATCTAAGATGGTTGGGGAACTGAAAATGACTTTTATTCAGTGTTTAAGAATATTAAATAGTTTAAATTAGTCATCAAAGTTTTGTTACTCATTTAAAGATATTAAAAAGTTAATTACCTAAAGCTAGGTACCTATTTAACAACTAAATACTGTCAATCCTATTGAAACACTCTATTGTCTCCATGCGTAATCTGATTCGCCCCAAAGTTTAGGTGAGTCGGGTCAAGCTAGTTTTTTCAGGTTTTGTGTATATTTTGTAATGAACTATTTAATAACGCATCGTATATAAAAATTTAAGCCTCCGGAACCGTTTTAATCTCAATTTTATTGGTATTACCCTAAGAAAAACCATTGAAAATTTGGGCTAGATTTGGAAAGGGTCCCGATTCCCCCCAATCAACGGTAGCTCGACCCTTCACACCTCTGACAACCGATTAACTACCGCTTTCTGAACGTCAGAAAGCAGACTCATTTAATAGATACTAGTTTGTAAGTAGTCATGGGCGCTCATAGATATTGGCAATAGATAAGTCTGTATATAAGTACAGGACTTTTCAGTTACAGAAAATGGTTCCGTTGTGGCTCATCAACAATTAATCTGTTCTATCTATTAGTTATTATATGTTTTGTATGTCAACTCAAAAAATAAATGAAATTTTTGAAAGTCTTGGTCATTTTAGTTAATATCGACACGAATACAGTAACTTTAAAATTATTGTTAGCCCTACTTTATATGTTCATATATATGACTCTAAACTGTATTGTTATGATTATAGCAAGAGACCAGCATTATTATTGTAACATATGAATGATATATTACGGCCTGGCCACGGGGATCGGCGGTGCGAACAGCGAAGCGGTGGGCGAGGCGACCATTCGCGCAGCACCGTTTGCAGGCCACGGGTACTCACGTTCGCCGCCGCGACTAGTAAGGAAGTCCGACAGCGAAATGTCTATATCGAAATTATCTCGATATTGCTTACAAATTAATAGTTTTTTGGTTCAGGACCTATTATTTGGAAAAGATTGTGAAGTACATGATTTGAATAAGAATCGGAGTATACCTATAGATGGAGAATTCCACAAGAAGTACGAGAAATACTTTGGGTGGCTAGACTTCCAAATAGCTGGTCTAGCTAGTATTTCAGCTATTTTATTTTTTTATTGCTTAGATGGGTGGACGAGCTCACAGCCCACCTTGTGTTAAGTGGTTACTGGAGCCCATAGACATCCACAACGTAAATGCGCCACCCACCTTGAGATATAAGTTCTAAGGTCTCAAGTATAGTTATAATGGCTGCCTCACCCTTCAAACCGAAACGCATTACTACTTCACGGCAGAAATAGGCAGGGTGGTAGTACCCACCCGTGTAGACTCACAAGAGGTCCTACCACCAGTAATTACGCAAATTATTATTTTGAAGATTTCATTTTTATCACACGATGTTATTCCTTCACCGTGGAAATCAATCGTGAACGTTGAGTGTTGTTGAGTACGTATTTCATTACAAAAATTGGTACCCGCCTGATATTCGAACACCGGTGCATCGCTCAACACGATTGCACCGGACGTCCGTTAGGCCACGACGACTTTAAAAATATAAAATAAAAAATAAATAAAAAATATAAAAATTTCGGCGTTAATTTTTCGCGGCGAAAACAACTAAACTCATTTAATCACTGCACTATTCGCCGCGACTACCGCTCGACTCCGTGGCTCGCGCCGTCCGTATTCATGCATTTGTTTTGCTCGCCCGCCGCATCGCGCGATTCGCTCGGTACATTTCGCCGGTCGCTTCGCCGGTCGCCGGTGCGCGTGGCTTGTTAGGTACATTTCTATGCGCTTGTTTTAGTCGCTAGACGCTTCGCCGTTCGCACCGCGCGAATATTCGCATCGGCGAATGTCCCGTGGCCAGGCTGTTATAATGATGTTTTCGTAGATGCAAGCGCAGCCGCAAATGGCGAACGTCCTGACGCCGTCCGGTCAGATTCAGCAGATCCAAATAGCATCGTTGGGTAATGTAAGTACTCTGTGAAATTTTAATATTGTTAATGGCTAGGGAAAATGTGCCAAAAGTGAATAGAAAGAACTTATTGAAATTCCATGACATGAGTTTTCCCTTGAAGGTAGTTTGAAAATTTTTCTATTTATTTGGATTTGGTAGTTTATATGGCATAAAAATTATAATGAAGTAAGATAAAATAATAAACATTTTTCATTATATATTTTTTATATACGTACTATTTTAACAATTATTACGTTAATTAATAATGTATATTAAATTACGTCTGCATTAAGATTTTTAAAAGTGTATTATTGGAACATACGTGCTGTATATAAAATGCTGGGTTTGGTTTCGGTACAGCAAGGGGCTGGCACACAGGCGGCCGTGAGTTCGGCCTCCACACCTACCACGATAACACTGCAGGTAATTGACGTACCTAAGCCGCAATAGGTATGCGCGGGCTGCAAGGGACCAGCTCCCGAACTCGAAACGGTCACCGCTGTAACATAATGGGAAAATATTATAATGTTTATTGACTAATCCAAGTATCACTTTAATATTATTTAGTATATTTCTTGACCCCGCAATGTAAAGCACACTAAACTCGAAGTTCATAAACGATCCCTCGGGCGCTTGTCCGCATTTTTGCTTCTACCTTCTAAACTGATTTCATTTTTAGAGTTTAGTCACGCTAAACTTTTGATAATGAAATGATAGATAAATTATTGATTAAATTATTGATAGATTATTGATTAACCCCCGAGTTTAGCATGCTTTACATTGAGGGCTGAAAGATATCCAAGAGTATTTTGATAAGGAAATCCAAATTTCTTTACAATTTATGCTAAGGCAGGGGTTACCGCTTCGATAATTTATAAAATGTTCTCACCGCGAGTAATATTGGGCATTTGTAATACTCTATTCGGATATTATGGAGAAGACGGTTTATTTATTTGCCCCTTTTTTTGATAGGCGTTGCGCAATAGAACATTTTGGGGCATCGTCTTCCTTAGATACTAACCTCACATTTTTGTAAAAGTGATCTCTTTGCAAACATACGTTTTGTATTTATACAAATTTTTATACAAAACAATGAATAAAGTTCCATTATGATTTTACGATTTCACTTTGTCATGCTGTGAGTTCCCCCCGACTGTCTTCGAATCAGATGCTGTAACAATCCAGGGTGATTGTTATCCGCGATCATCTGATGATTTGACTAAAGGATTTTAAAGAAGTTATACTGTTGCGTAAACTTTGAACTGTGGTAAAGTAAACTCAATGAATTATCGCGGTGAGGTACATTTAAAAGATGACCAAATGTTTGATGGTTTTATGTGGTTTTTTACTGTTACGTGCTATATTTTCTTAGGTTAAAGTCAGATAATTAAAGTAAATATCTATCGAGATGGGAATACGCTCCTTAAAATTGAAAGAATTGAAAGAGCTAAATGCTAGTCTAAGACTAAAACCTAATACTAATTATTATTGAAGGCATTCAAATTGATTTATTTATTGTGCTCATATCGTGCAGAAATAGCAGCAAAAAGTTTGTAAGCGACATCATTATAATTATGATTTTTCAATTCGCTCTGCCTACTATCATAGATGATAAAACCATTAAACATTGGTCTCTGGTAGTATTAAATTTAACAGCATGCATTATTTTGATTTATTTATTTATTTTTACACTAACATTCCAATTCATTTTTATTAATGTATTATTCTAACGAAAGATTGAATATTGTCAAATTAAACGCTGCACGGAAAGGCGGTATCGAATCCGATGCAAGCGGAGACTGCAACGGTCCAACAGCAACAGCCCACTCAGACAATAATAACGAGCACGCCGTCCGGACAGCAGGTCACCGTCATACCGGCCCAGGCTAACGTGCAGACGTCCGAGGTCGTCCAGGTACCGCGCCCGGGAATGTTCCGACTCGTCAACCGGGAATATTGCTGAATCGTGTCTGTAGCTTAGCGGAGGTAGAACTACATTAAACAACCACTGAGACATGTAAAAAAATAAGAGTTGACCTAAAGGCTATACCTATACTATACTTGAGACCTTAGAACTTATACTTGAGACTGTACTTGAGGCCTTAGAACTTATATCTGAAGGTGGATGGCGCATTTACGTTGTGAATGTCTATGGGTTCCTGTAACTACTTAACACCAGATGGGCTGTGAGCTCGTCCACCCATCGAAGCAATAAAAAATAAATTTAAAAAAGGCTGTAAACAAGTGGTTATAAAATCCCAAAAAAAAAAAAACTGAGACACACGTACAATACGGCTTTAGAATAAATATACCACCGGAGTGCTTCCTTAATTCTATGACATGTATTTCAAACAAGGTTTGAAGGAAAGCAGTCGACAAGGACTTCCTTGAGAGACAATAAAAAACTGGTTCACTCATTCTCTCAGGTAGATGAGGTTCTAAAATTGTTAACATTGTGAGACGTGCTCTTACGTGGCCCACGTTTTGTCTAATGTAGTAGTTCGTAGTTGCTTTAAAATTAAATGTGACCTTTACGTATACTAGTACTAGGAATTCTAGTGTAACAAATGTTACTGACGTATGTTATGTTATTATTTTATGTTTTTTTTTAAATGTCATAGATTATATTCATTTAAGTCAAATCATTAATTAATGAATAATACTTCTATGTGCAAAGTTAATGATGTAACAAAATTAAGTGATTGAGTTTTGATGAGAATGAGAATTATATGAAGTGAGAATTTTCGTCATTGCCCAGAGTACATACCTAGTGACTGGAATCGTTGGTTTTGCCACAGTTCGTTTACAGTATGGAGGGTAGAGGCAAGAACTACATTCTCTATGTATGAAAAAAGTTTGTCGAAAAGCGACCAATTAGGGTGGCGCCACCGTAGCAAGTGGTGTAATTTCAAATATAGTGTCAAAATTTATTTACAAATTTTCATGTGAACATTCTTCATTCAGTTTTGCTACTGCTACATTTATATTGTTACAATAGCTAGTAAGTACTATAGGTAGATATTCTATGCATACCACTTGCTACGCTAGTTGGGTTTTTAAGTTGCAATTTGTTGTTTACACCTGGACACTCAACTAGTCTACCAAATGCGACTCTACCCTCCACAATTTAAAGACACAATTCGTTTGACCCACAAAAAGAAACTTAGACTCTGTGAATAACTCAGCAAAATAAATAGGATTTCTTCAAGAATGCTCTCAGTTTTTTCTTGGGATAAATACAGTATTTGATCAAAAGTCGGTTTAATACTTTACTTGTACAGTATACAGTACTAGTAGATACTCAACGTTTTCCACTCTAATCGTATTGTAGTCCACATTATTATAAAATGTGTACTATAAGTAGTTTGCGGCTAGTGTTCCATTTATCCGCTCCTTAATCAGATGAAGTTGAAACTTTTTACTCTATAGTGAGCGAGTGGTTTCGGACATACTAATATCAACGTGACTATTCTCGTCACTATTGTTGCGAGAGTTTTGCAAAGTGTGACGGTGTTCACCAGTAAACCAATATTATTAATATATACGAGTACGTATATTAAAAATTTGCAATACCTACATAAAAACATTAATTTAGTGTGAACAAGTCTATTAGGCTTAGTAAAGTACTTTGTGTATGTAACAGCATGGAATTGTATATATACATATATAGCTTTGCTCAAAATAACACCTGCTTGACACAATGCACTGCATGTTTGTTAAATGTCTGTATTTTGTTATAATCGATTTTAGAAGATCCGTTAGTTATTTATTCAAAATTTTAATAATTCTTTAAGTCTTGTTTAATAGTGCCTAATCATTTATCACATGTCAGTAATATCGTTACAACGGTACAGGTGCCAACCCTAGGCGTGGGTGGAGTAGGCGGCGCTGTTCAATTAGTACCAGCCCTGGGACTGCCGGGTGTTCAGTTCGCGCAGATACAACAACAACAACAACAACAGCAACCGCAGCAGCAGACCGTTAATATTGGTGAATATTTAAGACTTATAAGTTACAAAATCGGGAAATAGGGAATCTGAAAATGATTATTGTTTAATTAGATAGTAGGTAAGGCGTGTTCTAAAACATAGGGATAGCTAAGTTTTAATGTCTATGAACTCCAGTAATGACTTAGCATCAGGTGGACCAGAAACTCGTTGACGCATCAAAGCCAAAGGTAAAATATAACAAAATTTATCATTTTACTAAAAGTATTTCAGGTCATCCTATTTCACTATATTTAATCTCCTTTCATAATATTTTGTTCGATTTTAAGCAGTGATGTGTTTTGGCTTAAAGGTTGAGATAGCCGTTGAACTGTAAAACTGAGACTTAGAACTCATATCATAATGTGGATGGTGGCATTTATGTTGTTGTTGTCCGTGGTCTTCGGTAACCACTTAAGATTAAGCTCACCGTGGGATCCCCCACCATCTAAGCAATACAAAATATATATAAAATATGTATTTAATATAATGATTTGCTGGAATATTAATTCATTACATACGTTCCATTTTACTTGTGTTAGAGTTACAAATTGTAAATGAATGTTGGCCTAAAAGACTAGAAGTCAGGCCATTAAAATAACTAAAAAAGGTGCGCGTGGGCAGGTCTTTGTTTTCTTTTGTAATTTGTTATTATTTTTTCTTCTTCTATAATTTTATTTAACAAGTACATATATAAACATATGTTTTAAAGTGTTATTATCTAAATTGTATTGTGAAGTTTTAATAATTACCATCAATGCCGAGTCGACCATCAACAACCGGTAGGTACATCACAAGTTAAATTTTTGTTCGAAAACTTTAACAATACAAAACATTTACTTGTTTTATAATAAAATATTTTATAATACTTGTATTAGTGAACAATGTTCGCCGAAGAATATTGCTGTTGCTTTGCGAAATAACCTCTAATTGTCTTCGTATGGGTCGCGTCATCACTAACTTAGAATTGCAGTAAAATGATATTCAATTAAAATGTGATATTAATCGATTGTTATTGTAATTCCAATTGTGGAGGAGTACCTATAAAATCTGATGATTTATTTTTGGAATTTGTCATTCTGAATTATATAATTTTGTTGCACTCATACCAATGATAATCTTTCCTATTGAATTTAAGTGTCATGGATTCAGATGGCATACAGAAGTCACAGCTGTATAATTTGACATCTTAGTTATTTTAAAATCTTGTATCTAATTTAAAAAAACAATGTGTAAGTTTTAGATAACAAATAATACTAATTAATCTACAAACTACCTACGAGTAAACAAAGTATAATAATACAATGTCATACATTTATTAAACAGGTTAATACAACAGTATGAACAAATAATGCACAATTGAAGGTTTTTTGATTAACTATTTAAACTTTCTGTAGGGCAACAAATCCAGCAAGATCCAAATGAGCCAGGCAAGTGGCAGGTGGTGACTGTCAGTACGGCAAGCAGTACTGCAGCATCACCTCAAGAATGTGAAGCAGCCAAACAAAGAGCAGAAAGCCCCAACTCTTCAAAAAAACACATGAAGCGAGTAGCTTGCACCTGTCCTAACTGTGATCAGGGAGAGAAGTAAGTATCATATGCAAATTGCTTGAAATCCAATATATTGTTGTGTTCTTGTGGATTTTGTGAGTTGTAGATATGGTTGAAAATGTTTACTTTTATTTCATAATTCATTATGAAATATTATATATATATTTCATAATTCATTATGAAATAAATGTAAAGCTTTTGTGTCGTGCTTGGCAATTTGAGGGGTAAACCGGACATTGCTACAGGATAGTAAATATTTTGTCTCAGAGCTCCTGCTGGCATTTGAATTGGTAGTATTTATTAATTTTTGTAAACTACCCAATATATATATATATTTTTTTTTTATTGCTTAGATTGGTTGACGAGCTTACAGCCCACCTGGTGTTAAGTGGTTCCTGGAGCTCATAGACATCTACAACGTAAATGCGTCACCCACCTTGAGATATAAGTTCTAAGGTCTCAGTATAGTTACAAACGGCTGCCCCACCCTTCAAACCGAAAGGCATTACTGCTTCACGGCAGAAATAGGCAGGGCGGTGGTACCTACCCGTGCGGACTCACAAGAGGTCCTACCACCAGTAATTAAAATGATATTACCTGTTTACCAACACCATCAGGAAAAAAATTAACAAGTAGAAGAGTTTTTTACAGTGCAATTTTTATATACAGCATTTTCTATTTGTGAAAATAAATAAAGTTGAATGTCTGCTTATAAAATTTAACTCAATTCTCACTTTTGTATAGTTTAAACATTAATAAAAAATATAGAGGCAAAAAACTATGATTTTGACTCAGCTTAAAATAATAGCATTAAACTAATAAATATGTTCATAAATTTAAATTTTGTCAGTGAAAATGGTATAAGTAAATACTGCAATAGTGATGTTATATCCAAATCTATGTTTTTGTCTTGCTTCAAGCATACATGTTGAAGCTAAGTCAAGGTAATTTTTCATACTAATTTTTGTACGCATTCCCTATTTAGAGACCTTACAAAATTTTGGACAGTATAAATGCATAAACTTCAAATATTTATTCACATATTGAACAAAAATAAATTGGCATACTGGTATACTATAATTTTTACTTTCAAAATTTAACTTCAGTCACAAAATAATGTTGAAACGTTTTTAGTCGTGTTGTCGACCGCAAGAAACAGCATGTGTGTCACATTGCTGGCTGCAACAAGGTGTATGGAAAGACATCTCATTTACGAGCTCATCTCCGTTGGCATTCTGGAGAGAGACCCTTCTTGTGCAATTGGCTGTTTTGTGGAAAAAGGTAAATTATTTGTATTATAATAGAAACTACTGGATATTGTGTATTATGTTATGTGTACTTGGAGTTTAACCACTGAGTAATGTTACTAGCAGAAAAAATTAAGTAATAATAATAAAGAAGCTAATAAAGTGTTCACTTTTGCATTGTTCGGTCATAATTAAAAATGCAGTTGTTGCTAAATTTATTCTTGGATGACTAACTGTTTGATTTAATTTCTATTCAGAAAAAAATATGTGAAAATTAGTGTTAATTGGATCATTTCTATTATACTAAAATGGTTTAGTTATTCAATCTTAAGCATGTTATAGACCAAATTAAAAAAAAAATTCAAATAAAGTTGTCAAATTTTAATATTTCAAGAATAATAATTATTTTTACGTAAGATTACCAGGGCTATCTTGGTCATAGCCATATTAAAATTCACTCAACCTATCAAACAGAAAAAGCTAGTGAGTCTTGAAGATTGCCTAATTTTTGGAAAAAAATCCAGGTTTACCAGATCGGATGAATTGCAAAGGCATCGTAGAACACACACAGGGGAGAAACGGTTTGAATGCCCTGAGTGCAGTAAACGTTTCATGCGGTCTGATCACCTAGCCAAACATGTTCGGATCCATACGAAAAATAGAATTACGGTATGACTTCTTGTATAATTAATCACATTAGAAACGAAAATGATAAAAACGCATGTTTTTAATTAGAGTTTTTTGAATGTTTTTTGCATTGCGAAAATAATGAAAATTTAAAACTAACAAATTTAACTCAAAATAGAACAGATTAAAATATGTCTTGAGTGGTGAGTTTCTTCAACTTCAAGGTTCAAGAGAACCTATGTGCACTAAGACAAGAACCTAACATAACACCACCTTAGTTCAACAGTAGCTCAAAGTTCCATCCACTTTGCTATATTATGACATAATATTAATTTCAAACTAAATACATAAAATAAAACTAATATTTTAAATACTCTTTTACAGGAAGTAGCAACATCGACACAATCAATGTACTCTGATTCAGGTGATGATAGTTCAGATGAGAAAATGATGTTGACTATAGAGACCATCCATCCTGAGGGAGAGAGCGAAGATAAACTTGTCATGATCCGTCCTGGACCGAAGGTTGAACCGGAACAACTGGACAGCTAGGACGAAGACAGCGACGAGTAAACGTCGTCGCTGTCAAAATGAATAAAGTTAATACTACTGTGTAGTATGTTTAGACTTGCAGAACTTGAGGGAATCACATAAACGATATTGTGAAACAGTGCACGCTTGTGGAATTTATGTTCTAGGCCAACAAGTCTTTAGTACAACAAAACATTGTGTTCTCACGGTTAGCAGTTTATTGGTAATAAACTGTTATTGGTAATAAACTGTCTAATTAATTTGGTATAGTTGACAGTTTGGTATAGTATGGGCGACTTCTGCATTGAAATCGCATGCACAATACATACCCAATTTCCCAACTTCAAAGTGTTGAACATGAGCTTAAACTTCAAATGTGCTATCTGCCTAGCTTAAAATAAAGTACTACGAACATGAAGTGAGTGTTAATAGGGAGTGCATCAGTTATGAAATAATCGTGTTTTTTTTATTAGCTGTTTGCTAACTGTAGTTCGATGAGTGAAAATTTTAAAAAGTTGTGTTAAATATTAATCGTTACAAAAGAGTTATGAGTTAATATGTTTTTTAAACATAAGCATGTATATAGATTACTCGAAATTCAAATTTTGTTTTTGAATGAAACGTGTACTGTTGCAATCTATTTATATGGAAAAGTCGTGCAAAATTTGGTGATATTAAATTTGACTGAAATAAGGGACTATTGAATGTTAATTGAATGATAAGGGGTTAAATTTAAAGTATTTCATAAGAGAGTAATAATAATAAAAATTGTAAATAAAATATTTTTGTCACTGAAACACTGGTAGAAGATGTCTGTAGTGGATTTAAAATGTATAATATTAAAAAAAAAAATCATTTCCACAAGTAGCCAAAGTGTGGTAGTATTTTTAATGCTCTTTAGATTTAAGATATTTCGAGTAAATAAAAATTCTGGAGAAAATAATTTTAAGTAAATGCTGCAAAATATTTTCGGAGTGTTAAAAATTTTTCTTCATTTTTGAGGGATGAAAAAATATCAGATCGCCGATTATTTATGTACAGTGTATCCATCTTATATAAGAATTATTTCGATAACAAATAATATGTTCATCTGTGATTCGATAATGAAATTTTTACAGGCCTGTCAGTGCTCATGTTCATAAGAAAATGGGAATGTATGTAAATGCACAATGTTTAATGTATGGTGTTATTTAGGTACTTAATAACAACTTTTTATTGAGATTCAGGGCATTGAGTCATTTTAACTAACACACATTTTATGAGTATGTAAATAAACCATTACTGTAGCGTGTAATATGTGGCTGAATTAAACACTTATTTCATAGCAGATTAGTAATAAAAATAAATGAAAATTATTATTTAACTTGGTTGCTACTGTATATTGTACTTATAAGGTATTATTTCGAGATGTGACTTATTACTCGATTTTTACTAATCGACTTGTGTTTAATGCCAACGTGTATACTTAGCTTGTTCTTCTATATGTTCATATGAAGTTAAATTTGTAGGGTTGATTCAATTTCAATTGGATTTAATCTAACTGTAAAATATATTCAGGCATTATATATGAGTGACAATCTGTCAGTTTTTTAACTACCAACTAATAATTATGTTCTGATAATGTGAATGGCAACCAGATCATTTTGCGGACACTGAAATATAAATAAAATATATATTATGGTTTACTTTTTTTATCCAATTTTATTTACATTAGTGAGGCCGACTAGTAACAGTAAATAATAAAACATTCCAAAACTTCGAACTCTAAAAAAAAACAAAAAGAATTATAGGATTAATTCCGTCAAAGTTAAGTGTGCCTGCATGGTGGACATAAATCACTTTTTTTGAAGCTATGATAGTGACATTTGCTGACATATTTAATGTTAGAGTTTGTACGATGTTTATTATTAGTTTTTATTTACGAACACACACACTAACCCATACTAACCTTATGTAGTAAAACCTGTATGTACTAATTTAGTGCTCAGTGTTCTTGTTGAAAGAATCGGCAGTAGGTATATCCCCACTTTATTTAACAAGCACTTGACGCTTGTTGATTATATGAAACTCCAGCAGGCGTTAAGAATTGAAATGCAATAAAATAGTTCGTCTTGAAAAAAATATTATGTTATTAAATCAAGCTGCACTACATATAAAAATTGTTGACGAATTAATATATGTTTTCCATATGCATTAGATAAAAATAATAAATGCTTAGTACAAGCAAAAGTGTGAGCCGGTTACTGTTTTAATATTTACATATGTCTCTTTACATCGAATCATGTGGTGGGTCCAAATTTATAAACGAATCTGGCTAATTATATATTGAATGTAAATAAAATTAATTAACAAAACATCAGGAACGCATTAATTTTCTCTAAGCTGTGTATATTAATTATGCTAAACGTGTAAGTGTAAAAATGGTTTTATTGTTGGACTTGTTAATAAAGTATTTTATTATAACCTTCTTGTTTAATTCGTTGTAAAAACCTGTCATATAGGTACCTAAAGCAGTCATTATCATGTCTATTCGCCGGATCTTCTCAGTAGGTCGCGTTTCCGATCCGGTGGTAGATTCTGCGAAGCACTGATCTTCCTAGGGTCAGTGCTAGTTACATCGTCAGGTTTGAACCCCGTGAGCTCACCTACTCGTTCTGCGAATCTACTATAGCCCTTCGAGGTTACTAGAATAGGTAGTAGAAAAAAAACATGCCTATTGATTTCTTTAATTCCTCTGTAAACAAACAAAAGTAAAAAGACCAACAGAAATAATAAAAAAATCTTGAATAAAAATCAGTAAACAGTATGTAATCAAAAGGAGCTCCCGAAAATAGTTAATATTCTCGACGTGATCATAATCGTCACTGAAAATTGTTTTTTATTCTAATCGTCATTTAAAGTATAACAATTTAATACTAACAAAATCCGTGTTGAAAAGTAACATAATGTAACAACTTAAAATAGGCCGTAGCGCAGGGTTATTGCTCTGAAGAACGAAGCAATTGGTTACAAGGCGTCAATCAACTTGTGCAACGCGAGAGCGGTTGATGAACCTTGAGCTTAGTACGCTTTACATTGAATGCCACAAAAATACCTAAAAGATAAACATTTAGCAACAATAAGCATTCAGAATGAATGTGGTTTTAATTTCATTTGCATTATTATTATTATATGAGCGATTGCTTCCTTTATACCGTCGAGGTAATTTGCTATCTAGGAAAACCATTTGAAGGCTCAATAGTCTTACGGCTCGATAATATGAACTTTTATTATTGCCTATACAAATGTCCACCTGATGGTTGTATGAAAGAGATCGCTCTTAGCGATAAGACCGCCAATTGTACTTTTTTGTATTTAATGTTTCGCATTGTTTTTATTTTTTGGTGTCCAATAAATAATACTCTCTCTCTCTCTAAAAAATATAGAAATTTTTGTAACTCAGTTCCATTTAACAGAAACATATAAGGTAAACTTTTCCCGTCTATTAAAAATATTATGTTTTCTAGACGATACTAGAGCATTCCAAGTTAGTTTTTTTGGGGGATAAAACGGATAGGTAGTGGATATATATAATCATATACAGTCAAACCTGGATAAGCGAGAGAGAGTTCAAGGGAGCACAATCTCATTCTTGCTTATAGAGGTTTCTCACTAACCCGAGTTTCTCGCTAATGCTCCCTCTGAATTTCGATTCGCGATTTTCCGCATTCAAATGCATTCACTATTTTAAGTTTATGACTTTAATGACAGTACTTTAATTTTCCGTTTTTACATGATGCAGAAGAGCTTTCCTTCGCAATTGATTAACGATAAACTGAGTAAGTCCGACAAACAGGACGGTACACAGGCACACGTGTCCATTCGAAAATAATGCGATAAAAGAATACGATAAAATAACAACGTTATTTAGTTCCACGAAATAGAATAGGTTCAATATTCACGAGAAAACAATACAAAAACAATGATAAGAAGTTCCACGAAAGTTAAAAATGAGTCATAAAATAGCAGATGTTAAATTTGCAATTTGTTTTGTCATTTGTTCCTCCTAAATAATATAAATAAAGCTCGGCTGTCGCTTATAGAGGTATAGATAGGTAGCAGTCTCACTTACGGAGGTCCATGAGGAAAAAACGACTCTCTCTTACAGAGGTTTCTGTTTTTCGCTAATAGAGGTTTTGGGAGCTTAAAATGACGGGTCCTTGCTATTACTCTCACTTATAGAGTTTTCTTACTTATCCAGTTCTCACTTACCCAGGTTTGACTGTATACATATGTATGTAATAAATATAAATAAATTATCCACAATAAATCGATAGTGTGACAATGTCTTGTGTCATTATTTTAGGAAGGAAGGCTTACTGGTCGCCCGGAGCCCTTTCCAGTTTCACCAGGACGACCGAGGTCTTCGGTTCTTCCGTATTGTAATAAATATTTTAATTGTTATCCACGAATCGATTTCATATTAAACGTAATTTAATACATTTAATTTAAGCATGCGAACGTGCACACCCATTTGGAATTCTTAACGTTCGCTTTAGTCAACCGCACGTTAACTTGTGGTTGGAAATTGCTGATGTGTCCGGTGGTTACATCCCGGAGGAACACGCGATAGGATTTCCTGAATTATCGCAGATTAGAGTTTGCGTTGACGGTATCTTACTCACAGACTAGATTGTAAAATAAATCTCTGTAAAACAATAATAATTGAGCCGCTATTCTAGACGACTTGCAGTTTAGGTACTTCTTTGGATATAGAACCTCCATTCTACATAATGAGACGCCATATAATATTCAATGCTACAAACTAATAACATTACCATTGAGTAACGTGTTTAAAAATTTGATTTATAAAATTAGCTACATCACGGTAAGAATGTTGACGTTTTGGCATGTAAAGTATTGGCGACATCCTTTATATTTATTACTTCCCGATTAACTATCAATTTATGATATTCGAGTTTAAGAAAAAAATACTTTTTGCGAAAAATATTAAAATAAAGCTATCATCAAAATAACGATCTCAGTAAAAATAATAATCCTAATAAATGTATTATACAATAATGTAAACCAACATATTGGCGGGTTCCCAGTGCAAATCGTCGATGGCGCACTTACATCGCTTAATTAGCCCCTGTTTGTTCCGCAACAAGCCTCTCAACATAATTGCTCTCCAGCGCGATTCGAGTTAACAATCTGGCGTGGTTGGGTTGTATTGCACTCTTATCGCGATGTAACTAACTCGTGTCTTGTATACCGTTCATTTTTATCTTTCTCGTTGGCAGAACACAGGTAGGTAATTCATTCTTGTAATTCATAAAATGGTCGTTGCTTTTACTTCTACGCACAAATTACAAAAGTTGTGTCGTGAAATGTCAAAATAAGAATCTTTATTATTGACGTTTGTTACTAATGTTAAACTGCAGTAAATCGTTAGGTGTTTACCAAGTCTGATTCTGTTGTTCAGTTCAGTTTAATTCCTGATTTGTCGAGAAATGAAGGCAGCATTCGAATCAAACTATCATAAAACGATAACCGCTACAATTCAGGTCGTCGCGTCGGTGAGCATTTCGCGTGTCGCTACGCGACTAATGGCCGCCATTAGTGTGCCGTGAAATCATAAGACGATTGGCGACCGCTGCCCACAAAACGAAATGTTTCATTTTTATCGTTTACACGGCGGTTCGGTGTTTCGATACTTAGAAAATAAACACTTTAGGTACCTATATTATTAACGTTCCGTTTCAAACTAAGATGCCAGAATGAATGTTTTAAAACGGAGTTTCCTATCTACTTTAATCTATGAATAATTAAGAAAAAACTAACCGGAAGAAAACACTGAGGTAAATCAAGATTTAATAGCACTTCTAGATTTATGACGTTATTCATTATTTAGCAGTTGAGTACCATTTAGGTAGGCGGTTGTGCTAAAGTTTCCTGGCATATGATATAATTATAAGATATAATAATGATATTAACGAAGGCGTGTAGTAAAATTCACTTTATATTACTACACAAAGTATTATGTTAAGTAGCAGTAGATAGACACTAAAAGAGAATCATAATGGTATTTACCGTTGATAGTAAAAGGCGAGCAAGAAAGCAAGACGTGGTTCCGCGCTCGGCTGAGCTTCCACGCTGCCTTCACATCTAATGAAAGATACGCGATAAAAGTTAATTATGTCTAGCTGCCTAATTGCGGTCCTCGGTAAAAATATAATTATGCGCCTGTGCGTTATAATTCATTGACCGTTTATGCGTAATTTCACTTTACACATCACCTTTACTATGGCGATTGAAGCAAATACATACTTTATTTATCTAACCCAACCAATTTGATATTATATTTATTTATTTTTGATGATGTACATACCTATATATAATATGTAATGCGGTGGACCGACCAAATTAAAACTGCAGTGGGAGGTCCCCTAAATGAATGCAGTAGAATGGCCTCGAGCAGGGAGAGATGGCGGGACATCGTGAGACGCATCAAGTCTGCCCCTTCGAACACTACATGACGATCACGACCACTCTGTCAAGAGTGACACGATTGAGAAAAGAAGAAGACATATATTTAAATAAAATATAAAATAACTATTTTTCGTTCGTTCCTTAGTTTTAAATTTCAGTTGTTTATAAGATTAAAATTTGATAATTTTTTTTATTAATCTCCTCTATTAAAACACACACTATAGAGACGAGCAAATACATCGAATACTCACCAAATGTACCACATGATTGATTAGATAAAGTATTTACCAGGACCATAGGAATTAATCATAATGTGAATGTCAGTATTCACCATAATATGATATAATATCGAAGTCTTAATTCTTGGGCATTTTGCGAATCCATCGTTATGTCGGCTGTGGTCTAAACGGTATGCTGTCAAAGGTGTTCACTAAACCAAGCTCATAGCCTTGGTGTTTGTTCTTCAAGTCGTTTGTCAGATGGTCCGTTAGGCGTGACAGTAAGCAGCGGCTTGGCTCTGCCCCTGGCATTGTTTCCTATCGGCAACGGTAACCACTCACCATCAGGTGGGCCGTATGCTCGTCTGTCTACAAGGGCAATAAAACATAATATAAAAAAAACACAAGGAAAGGCCCTAATTCTGGCACATGATATAGCGCAATAATTTTGAAATTACACTACATCACTAATATTTGAAGACATTCCTGTGATTCATTAAAACATCTGAGATTTTCTGTCAGTAGCATAAAGTTTACATTCAGAGGACCAAGATACACGGAAATTGAATTCTTTTTTCTTTTCATAGTCACCGTCGACGCCCGAGACACGTCCTTACGGATTCATCAGATCCAACAACCCTTGCATTAGACGCCATTAGCTCGAACACTAGGAGTAGGCATCCCGGTAACCATACTCGTCGAACTCTGCAAAGAGTTTTTTGGTCTGCAAAGAGGTTGCATCCTAACCTAAACATC